ACCACCTGAAGAAGGCTGGAGCGTACAACGGCCAAAACGTAATAAATATGGCGACAAAGATGAGGACAATAGTCCAAATAATGTAAATAATGTTGCAATTTTAAATAGTAGTAAATGAGTTAGAATTAGTAAAAACAAAATTTGATTATATCAATCACTTAGTTATTGATTATTGTGCTTACATTTGAATACAACCACCATTAAAAATACATTATTCTTGTAGTTTGAATAAACAGCAAAAGTTTTGTTTGATAAAACTACAGGAAATATGTTTATATAAGTTAATTCCTATAAAAGAATTCATGTATGGACTTGAAAAGCTATATAACTTACTGATTGTTTTTCATTGATTCATTTTTTTATAGCTTATTAACACTTTGCAGGTTATTTAAAGCCAGAAAATATTTTTGACTATAAAATTTACATGCAATGTCAATTGCTATCTACTATCATCATCAAAACTGTTTCGATTTGAGGTGATGAATTAACATGTTCTCTCATCTTCAGTGACATTGTAGACTGTTTCGACAATATTTTGACAGTCTTCTCTGTTCTCTACGTGCTTGCAGATTCGTTGCAAATTTTCCTTGATTGTAAACTTCTCCAAAGGAAAAGTGGGATCTTTCTGCCTCGTTCCTTGAATGTCTTGGTTCAGCATTGTATCTATGGTGGTTCTTGGATGACATGTGAACTTTTTGAAGTCAGTCTTTTCAAAGTAAAACTCCATGGCTTTGTTAGTTGGGTATTCTGGATTCATTCGCAAAATATGTCCAAGAAGTTTCCATCTTGCTTTCAAAATGAACAAAGATAAATGAGGTTGGTGGAATAGGTAATGGCTGCTCTAGTTACTGCTATGCAGTAACTACTTGTTTAAGACGTTGCATACCGAGAAAGACAAGAACTTGTACAGCAGATGCCAAGAATATCATTTATCTTCTGTCCTCCTGGTTACACTTTTCTCTTCCTGCTCATTATTAATGTTTCTGTCCCTAATTCTCCCACACTCTGTAAACACTTATGTCTTAGTGGCTTTACTACCTTGCATGGGGTGAAACCGATTAAAAAAAAAAAATGAAGAAAAAAAAAAAAAAAAAAAAAAAAAAAAAAAAAAAAAAAAAAAAAAAGAAAAAAGAAAAAAAAGAAAAAAGAAAAAAAAAGAAAAAAAAAAAAAAAAAAAAAAAAAGAAAAAGAAAAAAAAAAGGTTTTTTTTGTGGGGGAGAGGATGATTTAGTTATTTAAATATTACTAATTAACCCATAGCTGAGGGAAAGAGGTGGATTCATACCTTCCCCAAAGGTATTTGCATTTAAGCGAATATAATAAACCTAACGGGAATTGGAACTTGGCTCTTTTTGATTAACAATTCTGAGTCATTATCCATTACACCAGGCGCACATCCATGCTTACAGCACCTGGTATTCCTAAGTGGTCACCCATCTAGGTAATGACCAGGCTCGACATTGCTTAACTTATATATAGCCCATATAAATTATTTTTTACAGACATTATAAATATCAGTATGCTCGTAGATATTATCTAAAATGATAGCTCGCTGTCTATATACCTTATCTAATGAAAACCAACTCAAATTTTGTAAAGTTTTAACATTCTACATTTACAACTTTTGTAAATCACAGATACAACAATAGTAATACCTTCAAACAATACTCGGTCAAATGTTGCTAATTCACATATATATTTTTTTCCTTTACCCGTCACGTGATCTAATTATTTCAAGATGAGGTTGACTATACTTGTTCTCTGGCGATCCGTGTTCAAACCCAAGTGTCAGCAGTGACACTTTATATGAAAACAACTAATTAAAATTATGTGTTTTTACCGAGAGTACACATACATTTGATTAGTTTTATACAAGGTGCAGCAGAAATATCACCCACATATTCCTCCCAGAAACATCCCCTACATAATGCTAAAACATCAGCTCGATGAAGACGCCATTGCCACTAACATCGTACCATTATGTGGGAACTATTTCTGGTGTAGCCTGCATTACAGGGATGTAAAAAACGTTTAACACCAAACTTTACAATGTGCTCTTATCAAAAGTAACATTTTGGAGTTATGACTATTCAATTTATTTGCAGCAATATATGCTGAGTATCACATTATATATATATATATATATATATATATATATAAGATTTATTTTTAATCTAATGTTTTTATTAATTCACATGTTATTATAGTGGATGCACTATATTTGAAATAGACACCCCATTTTTATTTCTTAAACAGTTCTCTTACTGCATACTGGATCAAATGGTAGTTTCCCCTATAAAGGGGGATACATGTTCCTTAGATCCCTGTCAAGTTGGGGGTATTTTTCTTTACTAAGAAGATTTCTCAAAAACACTGACCAGATAGACATAATACACACTATTTCTTAAATAAAAATACAGCGTCTATTTTAAATATAAAGCATCCACTATGATAATATTTAAAGTAATAAACACACACACATTATATATATATATATATATATATATATATATATATATATATATATATATATATATATATATATATAAAGTTTTAAAAAAAAATGAAACATCATTTCTTACAACTATAAACATTATATTTTGTGGGTACACTTGTCTGAACAGACATCCTTGTTTTGTTTTTCAAACAGTGAAATTAATGTCTACCAGCCTGGAGATCCAAAGTCTTAATAAAGAAAATGTCCTATTCATCAGGAATCAAACCTGCTTTCCCTTTTTAATCCAGGTTAAAATTGCTAAATAGTAATGCATGCTCGACTTAAAAGCAATTATGCAGATTAAAGAGGGAAGGGAGAAAAATTTTCCTTAGTAAGATTTTTCATCTCTAGGCTGGTAGACATTAATTTCTCTGATAAAAGAAAAACTGGGTTATCTACACAAACATATGTGTCAACTAAATATGACATTTATTGTAGTAAGATACATACACACAAAAACTTTGTCCCATATTAGTCATTACATATTTCATATATTAAATGTAACAATTGTTATCAGACACAGTATTTAATAGCAGCTTGCACTCTTATCTGAACTTTAACACTTTTCATGACAGATAATAAATGTTAGAACAATGCTTAAAAACAGAAAATATCAGGTGTTGATATTGAAATGACATTTTTTAAAAAGAGGTTCAACATGCCCTCCTGTTGACAGCAAGGCATAGCTAGCATCATCGAGAGACTAAATCGCAAACATCAACAGACAGACTTCAATCAAAGGGAATTACTGTACATTTACAAGAGATACATTAATTAATGCTGATGATAAAATTTATTCCTTATAATGAAAGTGTTTAATTAAGTTTCAGGTAATGACTGAAGCTGCTATTAGCCATCTAATTATACATGTTGGGTGGGGATAGACACTGTATAAATACACACACTATATATATATATATTTTGGATTTTGATACTGTACAACAGTAATAATTCACTGTAACATATTTAGTAGGTTAGAATGAACATAGAAGATTGAATGTATACATTTAGGAGGGGTGGAGACACGGTTGTAGTCCTCACATCAACATCTATTGAAAAAAAAACAAATAAAAGAGACAGAGATGAATCTTGGACGAGATAAAAATGCTGAGAAATAAAATGAAAATATGAGGATATGAAAAGAAAAAAATTTTTTTTTTTCTTCTTCATTTCTTTTTTTTTTTTCTCGCAAAAATCTTAAATGAAAACAAGGTGTCGGGGGCAGGGGTAAGTAGGACAAATTTTTTTACAAAAAAAAAAAAAAAATTAATTTTTCCATTTTTTGTTCGTTCTTTTTTTGTTCGTTCTTTTTTCTTTCATGTTCGGTTGCATTTAATTTTCTAAAGCAACAAATAGAGAAAAAGACAGAAATGAGTTTTTTTTTTGTTTTTTGAGTTCCTTAAAACGTTTTTTTTTTTTTTTTGTTGTGAAATTCCAGAGAGAGTGGTTGTAAAATTAAAATTGAAGATTTATGTATATAAAAATAAAGCTAAACCAAAACTTGTTCTGATTCTTGAGAAATTAACTTGGAAAGCTGAAAATCCAGATTCAAAGATGTCACTCTCAAAGATTTTTCTCATGAAAATTACCAGTGCTGAATTTCTTTAGAAAGCATTTATATAAAATTAGCCATTCTATTTACTAAGAAAAGACTCGAAATTATAACAATATTAATGTCATCTATGCAAATTCACACTCGATTAAGTAGCAATTTATATAATTACAATGATGAATATGTATAGTTTTTAGATGCACTTTCTTTTCTTAGTGTGTGGAGATGAAAAACACTGTCTGTTTTAAATGATAAATAATACAAAAAAATAAACTTGACTAAGCGATATGCTTACAGTAAACGAAGGCCAGAATAAATGCTGAGAAATTCAAATTTGTTCTTTGAATGGAAAAAAAAAAATTTTTTTTGCCTATTTTTTTTTTAAATTTGACCTCATATTCTAATACAGATTTTTAATGTTTTTTCCTCTGTTTTTGTTTTTCACTTTCAGAAACAGAATTTGAGTATTGAGCTTGGAGAAAATTACACAACAAATGGAGTTTTTTGATTCTGCAACAGTCACAATTCAAATTATCTTTATTAAACTAGCATTGTTCAGTTTGGAGAGTGTAAGGCCATGTGACTATTTCTACTGTCCGTCACATGACTCAGTAGTTCAGACAATTTCTTCCTCACTCCAAAATGATTTCTTCAAATTTAACTCTGATAATTTTTTGTCAAACTGCCATCTTTCTTTTTTTTGTTTTCTTTGATATATTAGTTTTTTACTATATGAGAAAGATATTTACTGCAGATAAACATCTTTTGTTTATCCCCACTATCCTCAAAACGTAAAAAAAATATCAAATTAGTTAAAAACAAGATTTTTTTTTTCCCACCTCTCTACAAAAATTTTCCGTTTTTTTTTTTTTTTTTCAATTCAAGGAAGAAAAAAAAATCAACTCAGATACCAAAAATGAAAAAAAAGAGAAAAGAAACCGCAGTGTCCCTTCAGATTTCGTCCTGATATAAGCACATCGGCATCTTTGTTCGCGGGGATGAACCACGTAGCCTTGGCTGACTGCCAAAGGCCGCCTGACCAGACAGGTCCATTGAGCTTCGGTCTGCCGATGCCTCAAATGTCGAACTGCTCCTGTGGGGACAGGATGCACTACGCTTAGCAGATTTTTTGCGGACAGGCTGCTCAGGCAATGAGAAGCAAGATTTGCGGATGAAGAGGCGAGCATTCCCGACAGCTGAACGAGAAGTCCCAGGCTTCATCAGGTCTGTTAAATGAGAGGCATAGCCTTCAGACAGAATCTGTAAAGAATAAAAAAGAAAAAAATAGAGGTTACAATCATGTTCATGGAATATATTTAGAAATTGAGACTCCTTTGATGAAGAAACATTAAAAAACAGAGTTCTTTTGATTTACCTTAGGAATAATCAATACAAATGTTGTTTGAATTTTTTACAGCCACACAAGGTATGTGCATGGGGATTTGTTAAGAATACAATAAAAAAAAAAAAAACTAAAAAAAAACTAATGTGTTTGAAAAATTAAAAATTTCATTCAAAAATGTTTTTATATTTACCATTAAATAATAAGAATTTATAAAAAATTTTTTAGAAAATTGCTATGGCAGTGCCAACTAAGGGAGATAACCGTATGCCATTATCAGCGTTGAACAGGGAGCTTGGGGCTGGGGGAGGACTAGAACAATGGCAGACACATAAACACATGCAAATCTATTCAATCCCCTTCCATCTGCTGGTTACGTGTTGGTATTACCAAAAATAAAGGTTTAAATAATAACAACATCTGATCTTCAACTTGATCATTTTGCTATAACAGCAGTTATGACAAAAATTAAAATATTTAAAGGGTCTTTTTTAAATAGAACATTTAAATGTTCTCCTTGCACTATTCTTCTGATAAAATTGAATCTCTGCAGCTTGGAAGAAAATGGATGTGAAATATTTGCAATCAAAACTAATTGTATTTAGTTTCCTTTCGAGAAAATGTGTTCAAAATGGTATAAAAAATATGACACTTCTTGGCTATTGTGGCATGTGGGGGCTTCCTTTTTTTGCTTGATTCAGCAGCAGCAGTAAAAATAATCAGCAGGGCACATCCAGAAATCCCGGAGGCTATAAAGGTATTGACCGACATCTATTTGGCCTCTTTTCCATTTTTCTCTTTCAGCGGTCTCTCCTTTTGAAACACCTACTGAAGGGTTACAAGCAAACCTTGCTGCAAAAGACAAGGCCTGTCTTGGCAGCTTGATATTAGATTTCACATTCCTCCCATGGGAACTGGCAGAGAAATCTCCCTTTGAAACACTTACCAAAGGAAAACAACACACAACCCTTGCTTGATGAGGCCTGTCCTAGCACCCCTGGATTTCTTGTTCCCCACCCCATAGGAACTAGTGGAGAAATCTCTCTCAGCAAAAAAATAACTACTATACTCAAGAATTTTGTTAACTGGGAAAACTGCATTTTTCCACACAAAATACTACTATTTTGCACTCCTTTTGCAACCAAAAATAAAAACTGTTGAACAGTTATTTTCAAGCTTTGTTGTTTTTTTTTTGTTTTTGTTCATTCTACTCACACTGCCAGGCACAAACACACACATGACCAAAACAAAGTTAAAATCAGACAATCTAAAAAAAAAAAAAAACAATTTAAATTTCATCTCATCTTTATTTGTTGATAAATTCTTTGCATGCCTAAAAAGAATAATTTCTGGAGAAATTCACATACAAGATTCTGGAGCCTATAGTTTCCCATAAATTTGAACACATGGAAACCTTCAGGAGCAAATTGAAGCAAGACAGGACACATCAGAGCAGCAAGAGATCAATCATCTTAATGAGTGATCTTGTCAAACAACAGGTTTTCAATAATATAACTGATGTTCACTTTTAAATGGTGTCAACTCAGAAAAAGCAATGGAGATGGACACAACTTTTTGCCTACCAATCTTCACTCTTCGACACTGTAAAGATGAAGAACAGTTTCAGCAAAAGCAACAACATTTTCTTCTATGTCTCATACGATATTTCTGGAAAACAAAGACAGGAATGATAACCAAATGTTAAAAATCAACTGGTATTGAATATAAAGGTTCCAAAAATACACCACTGATGTCCTTTAGGACAGTGGCATAGTGGACATAGGAATGTGTTACTGTCATCTTTTGGTCATAGGTTCACTCAGGTAGTAAAAGAATATATGCTGGTTTACAAGAACTGGCACTGCAGGGACAAAATAACACAATAATCAGTAGACATCTGAAGAGGGTTAGAAGGTACTTGGCCGAAACTATAACATTTATAATAATCAAGATAAAAACAATAGTTTAATTAAATGAAAGCATAACGACATAAAGAATTCAACAAATTCTGGTTTTTAACAGAGAATGATTTGTGCAACTTTTATCAGTCAGTTATGTACAATGCATGATACACGTTTAGGCAATCATGTATCTTTTGATACATGATTTACAAGGCAGATTTTTTTCTTGCAGTAGGTTTCCATTTCTTTCTGCAATAGACCAGTTGCCATCCAAGGTTATAGAACCTGGTCTTTCTTGCTACTTACCCATAGCTGGTGGGGGGAGAAGAAGAAGATTCATACCTTTCCCAAGGGTATTAGGATGTAATTGAATGTAATGGATTCGACTGGAATTCAAACTCGGCTTTCCGATTCCTTAATCCGAACTGCTATCCATTACTCCACCATGCATCTTGTGCAACTTTTATACATAATTCTAAAAATATCTATTCTACCAAAGAAACAAACAGTGAGTCTCTTTTGAGCTTTGACATCTTTTTTACATCTTTTCTTTGAATTTAATATGTAACTTGTGAATAGTAAATAAGTTATCAACCCTATAGACTGAGTACCACATTTTTTTGTGTATAATATGAATCCATAACTGAAGCTGAAAAACTGAATAAATCACATATTTGAGTATAATACGACCCCACAGTACAACTTACAACAAAATTTACATGTGTAAATATTTCTTGAAAAGTTGTGCCATATTATCCATTAAAATCTCAATGTCATACATTTTCACTAAAATATTTAATGTTAATGATATTAAAGAATAGAGATGAACCAAATGTTTAGACATTGTGTGTCCCTTTTCCTAATTTCCATTGGTGAAAAGTGTTATCTTGTAACACTAATAATATCAACACATGACAGATCTTGTGTATTCCCTTTATTAATTTGTTTATCAATTTCGGTGAATTTTATGTCTTTGAGATAAAAGACATTCAATTATACCAATTGTCAAAGAATAAATATTGACAACATCTCAAATACCTTTTGTAAACAACTCTTATCAAAATTTGCAAACTTGGGGTTTTACTGTCTATTGTGTAAATTAAGTGGATTTTCAATCTTGCCATTTCAAATAGGAGGGTTTTTTTAAGCTGAGTAAAGATTTCTGAAAACGTGTACTTGCATATAACACATCCCTTTTTTACCATTAATTTCCATTTAAAATTTCTCATATTATACACAAGAAAATATGGTACAGGGTTTTTTATTTTGCTATTACTTTCTCTTTTTGATATTATCCACTTGTTCTGCAAAATGTTGGACAGATTGTTCAATTTATTTTTATAATTTGCCCAGATCATTCGATTTATTTCCCATAATGTTGCTGCTGTACATTTATTTAAGGCAATGTTTAATTTCAATTTTAAACCAATGAAAATATCCGAGGAAATTGAACATAAAATAGGCTGTGCTAGGAGTAGTTTTTACTAATGCCACAAGCTGCTACAAAATCTAAAAACTTAAATTGTGTTCTTAAATAGCTTCAGCAGATCGAAACTTTTATCAGGATGTCATGCATGATTCCAAACTCATTCAGAAATATCTAAACTGTATACAAACACTTTCTCGGATCAATGATTAAAAATGACTTCAGTTGAATGAAGCCTGTAACTCTTAGCAGGGACCATTCTTCTTTATGGACTGAGGCTACAGATTGATAACATTTGCAGGTTATTTAAAGCCAGAAAATATTTTTAGAGCGCAAGAATTTTTTTCTGAGATAATCATTTACTGATACAAGTCCTACTAATAACTAAGGAGAGAAAAGGTGGACTCATATCTTTCCTAAGAGTATTTGCTTGTAAATGAATAAAACAAATCCGACTGGAATTCAAACTCAGCTCTCCGACTTCCATTTCCAAACCATAGTCCATTACACCACCCACACATCCAAACTTACAGCACTTGGTATCTAGTTACTGACCATGCTTGACATTGCTTAACTTAGGTGATCGTACGAGAATTGGTGTTTCAACATGATATGGCTGTAAACCAATAAAATGAAGATATTGATTTTCAATACTATAATGAACATATTGATTTTCAATACTACTTCCAAGAAAAGATTAAAAAGGAAGACCTTATCAATCAAGTGGACTTGAGAAAATTATTTTCCTGAAAAATTATTATAATAGAATGATTTTATATATTTCAAAGAACAGTAGTACTGCTCAGTCAATAAATGCTGAAGTTTTCCACAAAAGGAAACAGTTAATATTACCCTTACCATAGCAATACATTAAACTCAGTTTCTGCCTTGTGCCAATGAGCAGACGATATGTTTGTTTTTGTGGAACTCAATGATTTCTCTTTATTTGAATGAGTAGGATACAAAAGGCACATATTTCCTTCATGAAAATGCATAATTCATTAGAAAAATCAGCAATATTATTGGCCCTGTTCTGGCATCTTGGCTTCAGTCTCTTTCCCAGTGCCATAAGGTTGCCTCCTTGTGCTTTTTCTATAAATATTTTCATCGTAATTGTTCAGATGTGCTCTTTACTATAGTTTTATAGTGTGACTGTGGGGGTATTATTACTAATATTAATTTCTTGTAAATAATTTTGTTTTCATATTGTAAATACTCATTGGGGCTAGTTTTTAGAATTGTTGTTTTATTCCCCTCCCCCACAGACAATGAATTGTAAATATGGGGACTAGTCAGTATTTCCAATGAGGTATTATGGTAGTAAGAAAGGTATGTAAGAATGTGTTGTTTTGGTATAAGGAATATTGTTTGTATGATTGGGTCAGTGTTTGTGGCTAGCTAAGTTATAGTTAAGACAGAAGAAGATCGTCATTTCCCCAACCCCACCTTTGGCCTTGTGCCACATTTCTGTGTATTTAACAGAATAAATATTGCTCTTCACTATAGTTTTTTAATTTTTGTTTTACTCCCCCTCCCACAACAGACAATGAACTTTTATATATGGGGACTAGTTAGGACTTTCATAGAGACAATGAGGTATTATGGTGGATGTAGTAAGAAAGGTAAGTAAGAATACGTTGTTTTGGTGTTCTGAATATTGTGGTATGTTTGGGTCTGTGTTTGTGGCTGGCTAAGTTTAATGCTGAGACAGAAGAAGATCTTCCTTTTCCCCCCATTCCCCATTTTTGGCCTTGTGCCACATTTTCTATATTTGAAGTGGAAACAAATATCACTCTTCACTATAGTGCGTACACTCTATGAATTTAAGTGCACTACTAGACTGGTGATAAGATCTCATCAATTTACTGTTGCGTAGCTGTAAATTCTATGCTAACAGCTTTTTTTCTCACACTTCTCATTTGTGAAACTCTCTTCCAGCTACATGTTTTCCAGTCAACTTTAATCTGTAAAAATTTAAATGCAATGTCAATTGCTATCTACTATTCTTCTGATGACACTTTTTTTGTTCTATCTGTTTCTAACATTTCCATATCCAGTAACCCCTTGTATCTCAGTGGTTTTATTACCTTGCTTGAGGTGAAATCAATTAAAAAATATGCAGTGCTGTGGAGAGCAATTTTCTTGTTTGAATGTCACATTGAAATGAACAACTTCTTTTCTTGGATTAAGAAATCAACTGATTTTGATAAATCTACAAATCAAGCATTTGCCCTTGCATGGAGTATTGCTGCCATATATGGTCTGGAGCCCCTTCTAATTGTCTCAAGGTCCTTGATAAAATCCAAAGATGGATATGCAATGTAATTGGCCCTGATCTGGCATCTCGTCTGCAGCCACTCTCTCACAGATGTGCCATTGCCTCCTCTGTCTTTTTTACAAATACTTTCACGGTAACTGCTCCGATGAGCTGCTTTCGCTGGTTCCCAGACTTCATGAATTTAAGCACTCAACTAGGCTGGCATCTCACTCTAACCCTTTCACTGTTGAAACTGTTAAATAGAGCCATCTCTTCTACTCCAACAGCTTCATGTCTCGCACCTCTCGCTTGTGGAACTCCCTCCCCTTTTCTTGTTTTCCTGATAGCTATAATCTCCAACTATTCAAATGTAATGTCAATCAACGTCTCCAGATGCCTTGATCTATCCCCTAGCCTTCTCTTCATCCTTTCCTCTATCACTCCTCTTTGTTCTTGCTCCAACTCTCTGTAACCCCTTGAGTGCTAGTGGCTTCCCAACCTTGCTTTAAAAAAAAAAAAAAAAAAAAAAAAAAATGAAAACACCAAGCCTCATACTGTGAGGTAAGAAGCAATCATAAAACTGAGACAATTATTCTTCCAGGTTTAGAATATTCTTCAAACCTGTCACTTCCAGACTAAGACTTGTTTCTTTTAAGGCATCATTTTTTTTTTCTGCCCAATTCTGAAGAATTCACAGAACCAAAACCAGAATCTTCATTCTATGAAGGAATAAAAATCAGGAAATCGACTTCTATGAATAAAAGACTATGTTTAAAAAAAAACAAACAAAAGGTTAAAATTAGCATCAATCCTGCGTTTATTCTGCATCCTTACCTGAGCCAAGCCATGTTGCCTTTTGGACACCTTGCCAACAATGTAAATCTGCTGTTTTGGTATGTCTAATTCTCGGTAGATACTAATGTCTTTTGCAGAGCCATAAACTGCTTTGTAGACAAGTTGAGCCTAAATTAACAGAAAAATGAAAAAAAAATATTTAGCAGCTTAATAGAACCTTGAAAAAATAGAAATAAAATCATGATCCTTAAAGTTTATAAATTCAAAGAATATTAGTGTATTGAGGCAGCAGATTATTATTCAAACATATATTGTTAAATATAAAAGACAATGAATGCCTATTATGTTTCATCATGAGCCATTCTAAACTTCCATATGGTTTCTTTAATTTCAGCAGAAAATAAATACAAAAATTGTCCAACATTTGGATATTTTTTATTATGCTGTTCCTTGATCTAAGTTTTCGGCTCACATGAGCCATCTTCAGAGTGGTTATGCAGACATTTAAACAAAGATATTCACCATCAAAAATGATATTCTGTTATGTTGACATAGAAGATTGCTATGCATCGATAACAGTTGCAGAATAGCAGACGCAAGTCGTAAATTCATGATGCAGTTCTATGATGTCGTACCATGTGAGAGACCGAAATATTAACAGAACCATATGTCTAGAGACAATGTAATGAATTGTGACTAGTTTGAAATGTAATTTCGTTGAGCGTGATTTTCTTTGTTTCAATGTAGATGGCTCCTAATATCTGAAGGTTCTTTTTACTGTGTGAATGTGAGTTTAGTTGTGTTATCAAGATTATTGGTGCAGCTATAGCTTAGTTTTGATATGTTTCTGTTAAATATTTTACTAAGAGAGTTACTTTTAAGGAAATGTTTTTCAATTAAATGAAGGAAATTCTTGCCTAACTTAGTACTAATCTAACTTTGGTACACACCTCCATTTAACCAATTGGTAAGTACTAAGTTAGGCCAGAAGTTTCTCCATCTCATTGATAAACATTTCCCTAAAATAACTATCTTTATCAGTCTTTAAGTTAATGTTTGGCTGCTGTTAGATGACAATTCCTGGTCATGAGAAGATAATAATTTCTAATTTTTTTCTTTTTCACTTAGTTTGAATTTAACGTAGGTCATATTTGATTGGTTGATCAGAGTAAAACCCTCAAGCCTTATATTTTGTTTTTTCTTTAAAAAATTAGGATGTATTTTGCATTTGAAACCAAATTAATTGTTCACTCACCAGTAATTTATAATCATCTGAGGAGACACATTGTTATGCATTGAAAGACAACTGCAATTGTGTAGTGATTCTTACATGTTTTTGTTGTAATATCCAAAAATAAATAATATTGCTCTATGTATTGAGCCCTCTTTTAAATTAAATGTTCTGAACCTTTTTATCATACCTAGAGATATATATATATATATATATATATATATATATATATATATTTAAAAACATTCTTAAGGGTGCAGAACTTGAGTATTGCTGAAAAGACATTTAGCTAAATATTACTTGGCATAATTAAAAATAAAAGAATATATATATATATATATATATATAATAATAAAAAAATTGAAAGAGTAAACAACCAGTTTCGCTCCTGCTCTTCAAGGTTTTTAATCAGGAATACAAAAGGTAAAATACAATAAATTTAAATTTGCAAATGATTGATGAGAGGGGGGAAAAAGTGGGGTGGGGAGTACAAGAGACCATTTATAGCAAGCCCAAGCAAATGCTGTTTACACAGAGAAGGTTTGCGAGACTTGATATACAGACTCCAGGACTTTTAAGTGAAATAAAGAGTGTGACTGGGACAAAACAGTAAAGCAGTCAACACCAAATTATCTGAACACCTTCTGTTCTTTACAAGGTGTTCTCAAATTGAGGATCCATAGGTGTTTTGGATCAGTTCATTTGGAACCAAGGTAGGATTCCTGATCTTACTTGGCATGTGTTTTATTCTAGTCATTGACTTGTCCTCCCTATGTAGCTGATTCTGCAACCACAACTATACCTATATATAATAGAATTCACTTGATGAGGGGGGAGAACATCCTTACGAATAGATGAGAGGATTGGCCTGGTATTGAATATGAGTGGAAAAATAACACTCATGGACACGAGATTTGCTTGGATAGGTTTTCAATCAGCTCCATTCGAAGCAAGTCGCAAATAAACAGGGCACCTTTCCACCATGGCATATATATATACATACATACAAATATAGATAACTATACTCGTTTCGAAAAACCCTCGAATTTTTATTTGCCAATAATCAAATCAATCTCAAGGGGAAAAAAGGTTTTAAAAAAAGAAAGAGCTACAAACATGAAAGTCTGTCGAAAAAAATCACACAGATGCAGATTTGAAGCCCAAAGAAAAAACCCCTATACAAGTAAACATCTGGCTGGCTCACTAGGTGTATATATATATATAATTTTCTGGGAGGAGAAAAGTAGGTCTTATATGTCATCGAATATGGTAGATTTTACAAGTATACTTGTTCTTTCATCACCAGTTTCATTTAGGTATTATATTGAATCAAAAAAAGTTTTAAATAACTAAAAAATAAACAAAAATTTTTAAAGAAAACTAAGAAAGTGAAACAATCTCTTCTTACCTCTGTCTGATAATTCTTCAAGAAGTTAAGTTTCTGTCTGAGAGGATCCTTGGATATGCCATCCATGAAGCCGACCATTCCATGAGGAAAATTATGCTGTGCCAACCAACTTATCACTTTTTTATGCTGCATATCAGGACGTGCCGTTACATAAAGAATAAAGTAGCCAAGGTTTTGCCAATAACTGAAAAGAAATGTTTTTTTGAATTAAAATAAATATTTAAATGCAATCTTCTATATTTCTTATTTTTAAAATCTTTATTATGCTTAAATAAAATTAAATATATGCAAAAATAATATATATATATATATATATATATATATATAATAAATATAAAAAGTGAACATTGAAGTCTACACTCAAATGCAACAGGCTGTTTCATGCTAAACGCAATCATCAGGGATGCCTGACGATTGCATCTAGCATGAAACAGCCTGTCGCCTCCGAGTGTTGATTTCAATGTTCACTTTATATTTATATTTACATAGACTCTATTAATAGTTATTCTAACTATTATTTGGGGGAAACAGTTTTTAATACGAAGTAATAAATAAATTAAAAACTGTTCCCGCCAAAATAATAGTTAGAATAAACTACAACAATCAACCCCAAAATTGAATAAGTAGCTTTAATTATCTTCCCAAACCATTAAATAAGTGATATAAACAAATTTTTAATACGTTAATAAAAACACCGATTAAAATAAAAAATAAATAAATATATAAGATAAGAAATAAAAATAATAAATAAAAATAAAAAAAATAAAAACAAATAATGACAGGTAACATAGTTTAACCCAAATAAATAAATAAACAAATAAATGACATCCGGTAAAATAACCGCCAAAACAGACTACCCACAATGCACCACTGACCCGTATATATATAAATAGCTGAGAAAAATAACAGCACTTGTGGCTTTGATGATTGCATCTAGCATGAAACAGACTGTCGCCTCTAAGTGTTGACTTCAGTGATCACTTTTATATATATATATATATATATATATATATATATATATATAGAGAGAGAGAGAGAGAGTGTTACAGAAAGAAAGCAGCTGCCTCTCAGATGGGAAGAGCTCAAGGAGTGTGAGGACCTTGATGAGGAGATACAGTGGTTCAAGCAGGATGCTGCTCCTCCTCACATTGATGAATTTCTCAAGTTTTCATAAAATGAGTAAAAATAAAGAGAAAAAAGAAGAAAAAAAAAAGTGATTCTCACCGGACAACGTCAACAGCTCCTGCTCTCACTTTAGGGTCTTTTCCCATAATGGACATACTTGCTGTAAAGGAACCATCAATGCTAAACACAACAGTCTCTGTTTTTGGTGGGAGGACTGACAAGAAAAAGTCAGTTGATGTGTGGTCACCTCTGTCAAAACAAAAACAAAAAAAAGGGGGGTAGATAATTAAGTGCATTTTTACTTATCCTCTACACAAAGACATCTTCAGTCACAAAAAAAACTCTGGCCAAAGTTTAACCTTTGTGCCAACAAAAAAAAAAAAGTGTATCAAAAGAATGGTCATTCCCTTGACACAGTAAAAAAAAATTTAGTGATTTAAATTTTTCAAAGAATTCTGCTTTTAACTAATATAGTCAGTAAAAATTATCACATTGAATTTCTCAAGTTTTCATAAAATTAAGTAAAGGGGTAAAAAAAATATTTTTACAAAATTTTCTAATAAAAAATAATTTCATTTATTTGTGAAGAAGTCCCGAAAATTTCATTAAATCCGACAATTATTTAATTTTTGGAAGAATCTCCAAATTAATGTGTCTATCAACGCAAAAAAGAGGCTTAAATTTGCGATGCTAAAAATTAGTAAAACTGCTGACACAAGAAAAACAAATTTTTTAATAAAATTTCAAATATTCTCAAAAGGAGTGAAAAATTTAATAAAATAATAAAAAAATACTTTGATCTTTCCTCTTAATAATATCATAAAGATTTTGATGATAAAACTATGTTTTCCTTATGTTTGGAGCAGGTTTTCATCACGGTATGCTGATTTTTTAGTGATTTCATTGAGGTACTAGTTAAATGGTAGACACATGAAGGTGCAAAATAGATTCTGTCTAGGACAACACAGTGAACTAATTTTTCTAGAAGCAATTGATTCAATATAAACATTCCACTTCATGTCAGTGGAAAGTGTTAGACCTAGGAAGTGCAATGCATTATTGGAGGTTAGCATCAGTCATGTTAATGAAATGCAAAAATGATTCCCTAAAACAATTATGCGAGCAGTTTTGTTTTGGAGGGTGTTAAAATTAACAAGCCATTTCTTGCCACAATTAACAGATTGAAGGCCATTTTCAAGATCAGCTGGCAATTATTCCTTATCGATAAGACTTACCATTTAGACAAGAGTAAATATAACATTTATGCCAACAGCATAGAAGTCTAGTTGAGAAGTGAAGAGAATTGATCGAGCCTTTTTTGGCTTACCTGACAACCATTTTGATTGGATAAATTCCTTGAGTGACTCGCTTCTCTTCAGGAATAGTGAAACTGACTTTTCCATGATTGTCTGTCATCTCATTGCCAAGATAGTCCCATTCCCCTGATGGAGGAGACTTCATAATGTAGATATCAACCTGTAAAACCAAAAAAGCACAAAATATCATCAAATCAAATTTCTTTTTTTAAATCACTTCACCACTAGCAGGAATTACAGAAAGTGGAAGAGAATGAGAAGACTTCAGCGAGGAGAAAAGACAATAAAAGAACAGGTTTCAGGAAGCCAGAAGATGGCAATAATGCCATTATGACATAGGGATTACAGAGAGTGGAAGAGAATGAGTAGACTTCAGCGAGGAGAAAGGACAATAAAAGAACAGGTTTCAGGAAGCCAGAAGATGGCAATAATGCTATTAAGACATAGGGACTACAGGGAGTGGAAGAGAATGAGTAGACTTCAGCGAGGAGAAAGGACAATAAAAGAACAGGTTTCAGGAAGCCAGAAGATGGCAATAATGCTATTAAGACATAAGGATTACAGGGAGTGGAAGAGAATGAGTAGACTTCAGCGAGGAGAAAGGACAATAAAAGAACAGGTTTCAGGAAGCCAGAAGATGGCAATAATGCTATTAAGACATAGGGATTACAGGGAGTGGAAGAGAATGAGTAGACTTCAACGAGGAGAAAGGACAATAAAAGAACAGGTTTCAGGAAGCCAGAAGATGGCAATAATGCTATTAAGACATAGGGATTACAGGGAGTGGAAGAGAATGAGTAGACTTCAGCGAGGAGAAAGGACAATAAAAGAACAGGTTTCAGGAAGCCAGAAGATGGCAATAATGCTATTAAGACATAAGGATTACAGGGAGTGGAAGAGAATGAGTAGACTTCAGCGAGGAGAAAGGACAATAAACGAACAGGTTTCAGGAAGCCAGAAGATGGCAATAATGCTATTAAGACATAGGGATTACAGGGAGGAAGAGAATGAGTAGACTTCAGCGAGGAGAAAGGACAATAAAAAAGAACAGGTTTCAGGAAGCCAGAAGATGGCAATAATGCTATTAAGACATAGGGATTACAGGGAGGGAAGAGAATGAGTAGACTTCAGCGAGGAGAAAGGACAATAAAAGAACAGGTTTCAGGAAGCCAGAAGATGGCAATAATGCTATTAAGACATAAGGATTACAGGGAGGGAAGAGAATGAGTAGACTTCAGCGAGGAGAAAGGACAATAAAAGAACAGGTTTCAGGAAGCCAGAAGATGGCAATAATGCTATTAAGACATAGGGATTACAGGGAGTGGAAGAGAATGAGTAGACTTCAGCGAGGAGAAAGGACAATAAAAGAACAGGTTTCAGGAAGCCAGAAGATGGCAATAATGCCATTATGACATAGGGATTACAGAAAGTGGAAGAGAATGAGTAGACTTCAGCGAGGAGAAAGGACAATAAACGAACAGGTTTCAGGAAGCCAGAAGATGGCAATAATGCTATTAAGACATAGGGATTACAGGGAGTGGAAGAGAATGAGTAGACTTCAGCGAGGAGAAAGGACAATAAAAGAACAGGTTTCAGGAAGCCAGAAGATGGCAATAATGCTATTAAGACATAGGGTTTACAGAGAGTGGAAGAGAATGAGTAGACTTTAATGAGAAGTTAGTTTGGTTTGGTTTATTTTTTTTTATGGCATATCAATCTCAATGGATTATTTAATGCTGACAAGATTTTTAAGGTAGATTTGTATGAATAGAATATGTATGCTTTGTAAGAAATCAGTTTGTAGATCAGGTTTCACTGCTGTATTTTTGTAATGAGAGTTTTTTGTCAGGAGTCAAATGTATTGCTGGTAATATTTTTTCAGAAACAGAGAGGGATAAATTTCTGGGACACCTAATGACAAAGGAGGGCTTGGAAAATTTGATGCTCACAATATATATTGAAAAGGGACAGAAGAGCTAGCAGGACAACTAACTGACAAGCATCTGTCTATATTTCTGAGATGAGGTATTATGTACACTATTTACATTATTCCTACTAGTGTCCTCAACTTTGTCACCATATTTATTACAACGTTTCGGCCCTTCAGTATCTGTCTATATTTCTGAGATGAGGTATTATGTCCACTTTTTACATTATTCAGACTATTGTCCTCATCTTTGTCGCCATATTTATTACAACGTTTCGGCCCTTCAGTATCTGTCTATATTTCTGATCTGAGGTATTATGTACACTATTTACATTATTCAGACTATTGTCCTCATCTTTGTTGCCATATTTATCACAACATTTCAGCCGTTTTATGCTTCAGCCTTCTTCAGGTGGTTGGAATGTCAAACTGAACCCTTTATTTCACTCACTAGAGTAGACTCTTCTAGTTCCATGTGCCATGTCTAATGTCTACCCCATTGAGCGAAACAAAGTGTTCAGTTTGACATTCTAACCACCTGAAGAAGGCCAGATCGTACAACGGCCGAAACGTGATATACATGACAACAAAGATGAGGACAATAGTCCGAATAATATAAATAGTGTAATTGACAAGCTTATGTGAATGGATAGCCAAATGGGGAGTGGGAGGGATGGTAAAAAGACCAACACTATCCTGAATGGATAAAACTCATAGAACATTATAGATATTAGCAAGATTGTGGGTTTTGTGTGTATTTTTAGGTGAATGTTCGTGTTCAATATATAAACAAAGATAGTAGAAGCATACAAAATGTACTGAAACAAATTTCAATGTCCCTTGAGTATGTCCGTTTTCCTTTTTGGTTCAGAAATAATTCATGGGCAGTAAGGATAAGAATGGGTAAAGATGGTCAAGCTCAAGTCATCCTGGAGCTGAGTTTGGATGGCTGAATCTCCACTTCATGAGTAGGGCTGCTGAAAACATTCCCGAATGATCTTCTTAGAAAGCCGAAAGAGTTCAGCCATCAGTGGACCAGGGAAACTAACATTACCCAGTGTGAACGCTATTACTGCATGGTTCACATCTTGAAGTCAAGAGGAGAAAGAGAAAGATTCGGTCTTTTCTGGAAGTGGGGACAAAAAATTGCAGATGTGACCAGGAACCATTTCCAGTTTCTTTATAGCTTGCAACATGGGAAAATTAATTAATTTTTTTTTTATTTGTTATTATTATTTTATATATTGGTTTTATTTGATTTTCCCCACATGATAAATAAAGAAATTCATTATTTTATAGCAACAGGGTCTAATGGAAGCATTTAAGTCATATTGTAGTGTATTCTCTTATGAAGATGAATCCTTTTAACAATAAAATACTGACTCAACAAATCTCAAACTGTCTTCTTACCTTTTCTCCAGAAAGATAAGTCATGTCAAAAGGACCATAAGTGAATTTGCCAGTGAGTATTTGTTGTGAATCTTCGATGACAATCACATCATTGGCTCGGTGATTGGGTTGAAGGTTCTGAAAAATATACAATTGAACATTAATATGAAACACTCTTTTTTTTTTTTTTAAATTCCAACACTTATATGAGGGATGTACTGAGTGTTACTCTCCTGGGAGGTTAGCATCAGCCATGCTGAGTGTAGGCAGAAAAGGTCCTCTATATAAAAACAGTTTTGTCTTGAAAGTATTCAAAACTTATACTACAACTATGCTGAGTATACCTTAGTTACACTTTCTAGGAGAGAGTGCATAACTTAACATGATCTGTAGTTGGACAAATTAAGTTCACTTGAAGATGGCTTTTAACTACATGCCAGTATGTCCATTAACGGCTTCAACAGTTTCACCAACTGTATTTTACTCACAGGATCTGGGCTCAACCCATGATAACTTTGCAGATATTTTCCTATATGTTGGGATTGTCTCCTTCAATTGATTTGCTCTATTTATGGGAAAGAAATCAACTCCTTGACCATCATGGTTAGAAGACAAACATTGTAGTCACTTGCCCATGGGCATGTGTATCTATCTAGATATCTATATATACATATATCAAAATAAAAAGAAAGAACAGTCAGATTTATAATGTACAGTTCTTTAGCATTTATTTTTAAATCTAGCGCTTGATACACAGTAGAACATAATATAATATTATTATTTAAAAATATGTATTCAAAAATAAATGAAAAATAAAGAAAAATGCCAATCTATTGTAGTGTATCTTATGTATGCCCCTAAAAAAAACAAAACAGACAGGATGACATGTTCTCATATAAGGAAGCCAGTATCGACAGGCACACCTAACCCATAACCTATATTTACACTTTGCCAGCTTAAATTAGACTTGTATCCTGATTTGTCAAAAGAAGGCAAAACCCTTTTTTAAAACATTGTAATCCCTTTCCCCCCTTCCAACTTAAACCATATAATACAATTTAGCTTAAAAAAGTAAATCATTTTTTTCGAAAGTTATTCAACATTGTTGTGAATGGAACAAAAACTTTAATTTTCAGTTTAATTTAAAGTTTAGTTTTTAGTTCTGAAACATGGTAATTTCTGTGCTGTGATGAACACATATTTTTAAATAATAATTATATATATATGAAATGGTGTATTTGGGTAGCAATCCCTCTTTTATACAAGTTTCATTAAAGGCGACAGACAAGGTATTGCAATTAAACTTTTTATTCAATTTTTCTTGTGTTCGTGTGTTCCCTTTTCTGAACAGTGTCTGCAAACTGTCCAGATGTTCTATATATGTCCAGATGTTCTATATATCTGAGCCCATTCTCCTATTCTATTAGCCATTTTCAAAGATGTTTTTTCCATTTTAATTTATAACTGAATGTGTAGATTTTTCTATATGTATCTGGAGTGATAGAAATATTTTTTATTATTATGATTATTATTTTTCAAACACAGCACATTCTGGTCATGTTCATAGTAGAGGTTATTGAGTGTTGGCTTTTTCTTTTTTATTATTAAATAATTCATATATATATATATATATATATATATATATATATATATAAAACAAAGATGATGTGAAGCTAGAAATACTGTCAGTAGAAGTTTGAAAGAAAAGACATTTAAGGCAAGCAGTTTATGCAATAAAGTGCTTGATATCATAGAAAGTGCATTAATACGATTAATACAGATATAAAATTTGTCCCTTAGCTGATTAGTGTTATGTGAACTTTTTTTCTTTTTTTTTTACACAACAAATTCATTCAGTAATCCTCTACCCTGAATGTCTCTTGGGCCCTGTATTGGACGAACCAAAAAAAAAAAGAAACTTCAACAGTTACAACATTAGATAGAATAAGTTATCTGCTGTGAAACTTCTATTTTTAATATACATGCGCATACATATCTTGATGAAGAGGCGCTGAAAAGTTTTTGGTCTGGTCAAGAAGCCCTTATAAAAGATCTGAAGTTTGATGATCAGGAAGTGAGTCTCAAAGACTAAGAACTTTCAGCTCACGTACGTGTGTGTGTGTGTGTAATGACTAATCTCTGTTGAGGATGCTGGCTCAGGCACATTTGTGTTTTGTTTCCTTCTTAACATTATATCATTATTTTCTCTTTGAGTTACATGTGCTATCCATTTTATTTGTTACTGTTTTTGGAAGTCCTCAAGTAGGGTGGTTTCCCATATTTGGTAGATTTCTTTGTGATTCTATAGTTCCCAGTTCACAAGGTTTGAAGAATTATGGACTTCTCTAAGACCTACAGGCTTCATTCCCTTGAAGCCATTTTTAATCACTGAACCGAGTTGTATACAGCTAACTTTGAATATATTCTCTTTAGCGCTAGGGGGCGTCGTCAGTGATGTTCTGAATTGGGTCATTGGGTAGTTTCGGATCTTTCAAACATCATACTCCCCCTCACCAAATTGACCCCATCAGAGCTGATCAGTCTTTGATGCACCCACCACCCCATCTAAATTAACAGCCTGCAGACACTGACATATATTAGGCAAACCCTACAACCTCTGTCACGCATTTGATTGGATGTTGACCAACAGCCAATCGCAATGGTGTGAGCTCTATTTAAATTGTTTACGGGGGATTTTTTTTTTACTTTTTCTTTTTTTATGTGGATACTCGTCAGATACTCGGAAGGTAATTATGTGTTTTCCGTTTTTATTTTGTTGTTTTTGTTTTTTTTTAAATGGATAAAAACATGAAATTGGTGATGATAAAACAATAGAAACTTAGTTTTGGAGGCATTGAAAGATAAAAGACAGTTTTTCTTCAAATGAGCTGTTAGTGCAAGGTTAAAAAAGAGATAGCAAATTTGTCCTGATTTTTGATTGATTGATCGTATTTTTACAGTTTATCAGCCTTTTGCAGGTTATTTAAAGCCAGAAAATACTTTTAGATTGTAATATTTTTTTGAAATACAAGTCTCACTAATTAACCCATAGTGGGGAGAAGTGGTAAATTTAAACTCTCCGATCTCAAATTCTTAGCCATTATACATTACATCAACTGTACATCAAAGCTTACAGCACCTTCTTTGATTTGGTTTGTTTTACGGCATATCAACCTCAATGGGTTATTTAATGCCAACAAAATTTTTATTGCTGATAATATATTTTTCTTCAAAAATCTATTTCTGGGAATATTTTTCCTTGAAGAAATCTATAGCTGGTCATATTTTTTTCAAAAAATGTATAGCTGTTTGTATTGCTGGTATTTTTTTTTAAGTATTGCTGATAATAATTTCTCTTTCAAAAATTATTGCTGGTAATAATTTTCTTTTATTACAAAGTATTTCTGGTATTAAAACATATTTTTATACAAGTTTAGGTGTTAACTATTTGCTCATAGCTGGGACCCTAACAGGTGCTACCACCCCAGGTCAGGGTGGACCTGGGAACACCAGCAATTAAGAGGTGGTTCCACGCTCCTCAAAACCTCCTGATCAGAGGTCTTGCTGTTGGACGTAGTTTATTGTCTTACCCAGGATGCAGATGTAGTTTATCGTTATACCCAGGATGACAGCACATTCTCTTTTTATTTTAGAGTGACAAGTGTAGCCCAGAATGGCACAGTGCCTGACACAGCATCAGTGTGCTCAGCTAGCATCCCGTTATGAAGTGTGGCAGTCTGTGGTACGAATGAAGAGACGGTGGTGCACTGTTCATGGAACATGTGCTTCAGAAGATGCCAAGACCATCAGAATTTGCCATTCCAAGCTGATGAATATGAATTCTATGGTAGATACTCACAGACGCAATCGTCCTTCAACATCCCAATTGAAAGGGAATGTTCAAGGATATACCCAGATGATTACAAACCCTGGGGGACAACGCTGGTGCCTACATAGAATTTTAACAATGTACTTCTCTACCATTATACTGTTAAAAATAAAACGTTTTATGAAAATCAACCAATAACAAATAAAGTTTCTTTCCATCCACCCTGTATGCATGCACTGAAGAAATGCAACATTACTTGTGAGCACTGGAAATAATGTGCATCAGATTGTGATAATTGGAATGAGGCTTCTCAGAGTGGAAGGTGTCACTTTGAGAAGGAGAGGAGAAGGCATGCAAGTCTTAAAACAGACGTGTGTAAAGGCATCCTCATTGAACTTCCTGAAGACACCCACACACAGCTCAATCTGACATGTACAGATTGTGGTAGAGTGTGTTTGTCAATGGCTTGTCTAAGGGGCCACTTGAGAGTGCACTGATGGAGGGTGGCAGTTGACTATAAAGCCGTAGATATCTAGCAACTGAAATGTGACGTTTGCTGTAAGACATGTGGGTCCAGAAGTGGTTTCATGCAACATTTTAAATAATGTAATGCCCACTGTTAGACCTCTTAAGTGCTCTGTTTGTTCCAGAGTATGTACGTCTCTTGCTGGGCTTAAGAGCCACATTCATTCAGCAGATATTCTCCAAAAAGATATGTAGTAATGGCTGTACTCAGACACGAGTTGGCAGCCACCATATATATATATATATATATATATATATTTTAAAAATCAGGAGATCAGTTAAATCCACTACCTTGGTTTCAACCTTACGGCATCCTCAGGCAATTTTTATCAAATGACCTCTTAATGCTTTATTTTTTTTAAAAATCTAATCAATACTATATTACTTTTTAAAAATAAATAAACAAATGCTCAACATTGGGTGTTATAGAAAGGGAGGAGGAGGATGTGAAGAACAAGGAGGAAGAGAAGAAAAGCAAGAGTATTATAAAAGTATTGGTGGGAGGTTAATTGAAATGTACATTTTTTTTTTATCCAGCCTCATATTAAGAGGAATTTCTTAATATGTATACAGGGACTCAAGACTCAGATTTCTGGTTCAAAGGTTCTTTGGATCTGGAAATGTCATAATTGCTAATTTTTCCTGTTGGCAGAGGTTGCAAAAGAGAGAGAGAGAGAGAGAGAGATCAACGTACCCGCACTTTGATGGTGGTTCGTCGTTTCAGCCATTTCTCACATGGCTTGGAGGGAGAAAATTTCCGACTTGTCCCTCTGTTGATTTCAGCCTCTGTGTTTGAAGAAAATGACTCTTGGCGAAACACCTGCAAAACAAAAAATATATATATTATGATGGAGTAAAAAAGATAATGAATAAACAGGTATATTGCCTTGTTAAACTGTCATCATGACTTGTGTTGCATCCTTAAAGAAGGTTACAAACAGACAAAGGTGGTACTTGAGTGAAAGGAACAGCAACACGGGCATAGAAGAAAGAAAGAGAGGTTTATTGTAAAAGAGAATACACTACTGAAAGACAGGGATATGCTATAGGGAATGTGGGACATTCCATTACAACAACTTGATAAAAAGTAAATTTATGTTGGTGAGTATTAATTTTTAGGCCAGTCCAGCCTGCTCAAGCTAGTAAGAGTTCACACTAAGGTCAGCATCACTAGGAGAAGTTGATTTTGTGAAAACGCTGACAAAAATTATATTGTTAGGAAAAATTTGGCAGGGATATTTCAGTTTAGGTACAGTGTGAAAATTATTGGCTGAGACGTGTATTTGTGCGTTGTTAATTGAATAACTGTTCATCACTTTTGAAACCCTGTTTCTAAGGGCAAAATGGATCCAGAAAAGTCTAAGCACAATGGAAACTACTTTGTTAAAAAATTCCTAGTCCTTTTCTTTTTATCCCTCCAGAGCATGGATTAGTCAAAGAATTAGTGTATAAGGGTTCTTTTTAAGTAAAAAAAAAAAAAAAACTGTTTCACAGTTGCCTCATCATCTTGGCTGTATATAGTGGAAACTTCTGCTACACTTTCATTTACTCTCTAAGAATATATTCAACTAAGCTTAGTTTGGCACAAGGCCAATTGAGGTACATTAAAAATAGATAGTGTTGCACCAGATGTGCCTGTTCACTTGTTTTGAAACTCAGAATTCTAAGGACTTCTACCAAAATTATGGTATTATGGTATAACAGCTACTGGCATAGAAAATGAAAATAGTAGGCTGTTGCATTCCCATTGCACTAATGTCCTTAAGGCTTACAGCTATATCATATGGAACATAGATTCCTGGACAATCATCAAAGTTAAGCAACATTGAGCCTGGTCAGTACCTAGATGGGTGACCACTTGGGAATACCCAGAGCAATAAGATTGGATGTGCAGGTGGTGTAATGAAGTGGATACTAGTGGATAATGTCCTGGAATTGTTGACTCCCAATGTGTTTGTTATATTCACTTATGCAAAAATACCCTTGGCAAAGGCATGAACCCAGATCTTTTTCTTCTTCTTCAGTTATGGGTTAATAAGACTGGTATCACTAAATCATTATTATCTCAATAAAAAAAAAATTCTTACAATCTAAAAATATTTTCTGGCTTTAAATAACCTACAAAAGGTTGATAAGCCATAGAAAAATGAATCAATCAAATACTGATTAACTACACAGGAATGTCTTTTCAAATTCTTTACATTCTCTGGAATGCAAAGCTATAGAAATTACCATGGCCACAAAATGAGGTATCAGCTTATATACTGATTGTAATATAGAATTAAACCCCCACTTTATATCTACATTATAATTTTTGTTTATCAAATTCTGATTAGGTATGAATCCACTTCTCCCCCAGCTATGGGTTAATTAGTAAAACTTGTATCACTAAACCATTATTATCTTTAAAAAAATTCTTACATCTAAAAAATATTTTCTGGCTTTAAATAACCTGCAAAGAGTTGATAAGCCATAGAAAACATTTAAATCAACTAATGCCCTTGGGAGATCCATCTCTTTTCCTCATAACTATAGATAAATAATAAACTGAACAGTCCTCTTTAAGTCGACCAGTCTAGGAAGGCAATTCTGAATTCAAAACTATGGCGAAGCCAACAGGAAACTGCTACACAATTTCTCCCAAGAAATCAATTTTCAGTTGTAAAAGGTGTGGAGAGCCATGACTAAAGGGATTTGGTAGAAGAACCCAACAAAGAAATATATGTTAATCCATTCACCACTGATGAATCTTCATCTTCCAACCTAAGTTGGAAAAGGGAAGTGTGGAGAGTCATTATCAACTATGTCCTGACGAGACATGATATTCAAAAGAAGGCAGTGATCATAAAATTTCTTATAAAATTTTAAAAACAAATTGAAATAATTTAAATATTTTTTTGAAGTTTTAATTTTGGTTTTAACTGCAAAAAATTAGCATTGACTTCATCATAAAAATAAAAAAGGATTTTTGTTAATGAAAATTAATATTTTTAATGTTTTTTTATGCTAAAATTAAATTCAATTATGCCATAATTGATGTCTGTGAAAAAAATTTAAGCCAATTAAAAATGTTCCAAACATAAAATAGCATTTATAGAAATATAAACTTTTATAAAAATTAGTTAATTTAATCCAATTAAATAATATTTAATTGGATTTTGAAAAAAGAAACTTTTTGTTTAAAATATAATGAAAAATACATTGGTTTCAAAATGGGTGTCTGTCATCTGAAAATTCAGTTCAAAGATGATGTATGTAATGACCCAGGTTTTCTTATTTATAAGTAATAAGAGGAAGATAGAAGTGTTTAACATCTCTCGTCAATACCTCATAAATAATGGACTATTCCATTTTGATTGCATGGAAACAGGGGAAAAGACACTACTTGGTTTCAGTAAGAAAATGAAAAAAAGAAAGGGAAGATAAAAGTGTTTAACAGCTGATTTAGTGAAATGGAAAAAGTTGTCAATTTCAAATCTTTCCATTTGTACCCACTTTTTGAAATAATGACAAGCATTCATATTTATAACTGTTATTGAAATATTTTGTCAAAGTTAAGCTCAAATATTTAACGATGCTTATTCAATCATTAACTGAAGAATTAAGATTCATCAGAAATTTAAAATAAGAAAACCCTAACCCTAAAATAAATAGGAAATTTTCACAAGTTAAAACTAATATATATAAAGATGTGTTTGAACTTCAAAGTACTTTTCTTGTATTTGGCATTTAATTTTGGGAGGTAGAAATAATTATTAAGAGAAATGTTTTCAAGACAGGCTAGATAGATATAAAAAAAGAAGATAGCAGTGTTTAATGTCCCTTTCTAACATCACCTCACAAATAATGAACTATTCCGTTTTGACCGTGTAGAAAAAAAAAAAGACATACACTACTTGCTATTAGTGAAAAAATGACTGAAAGAAAAAAAGAATGGAAGATAGAAATGTTTAACGTCTGTTTCAGGGAAATGTAAAAAGTTGGCAACTTCAAATCTTTTCATTTGTACCCCCTTACTTCTGAAAATAATGACTAGTATCATATTTATGATTGTTATTGCAAGCTAAGCTCCAATATTTAACGACACAATAGGGGAATTTCTACAGATATTTTATTGAACTCACTCAATGCTTATTTAATCATTAACTTAAGAATTAAGATTCACCAGAATATCAAAATAGGAAAACGGTGAAATTTAAAACTACTATATATAAATGATATTCTAAAAGACTGTTGTAAAATGAACAAAAAATTTTTCTTTTCCCGTGTGAGAAATGAATCCCACGTCGCCAATGTGTTGTAGAGTAGTTTTCACAGTGGAGGCTTGTATTTCAATAAGTCATCCTAAATTAGGTTCGACGTACAAAACGTTAGGAACTTGAAATAAGAGTTAATGATGCAGCAATCTAGTTGTGATGGTTGATACTTCAATGTCCGACATCGACTGACTCGCTCAACACCACTGAGCCCCACTGGCCACTGCTACTACTACTTATTATCTGTGGGAGAGTCTATTACAATAGAATAGGTATTATGGTATAACAAAGACACAATCACTCTCCATTGAAAAATGACATAATACAATATTCCAGGATGGAACCAAGTAACTTCTTACCTGTCTGAGAATAAAGGAGACCACATCACTTGATTCCCAGAAACTAGAATGGAACAGTTGGGGAAGAGCATTGGTTGGAAAGGAGTGAAGAACCTCAGGGCAGTAAAGCACATAGTCCAGACGTTTGTTGCCCCACCAACGATTGGTTACTGAAAATATACAAAGCTTTTTATTTATTATATTAAAAAAAAAATTATATTAAAAAATAAATAAAAACAAATTTGAAGAAACTTCCTGTCACTCAGTCACCAGCAATAACCACCAATCATGTATGAACATGCAAATGCATGAACTATAATAATAAAAGATACTGAGGAAGGTGCTGGAGATCTGAGAAAACTTGCTGTTACACAATCTCAAGCAGGGCTTACAGCCACATCATACTGGAACAACAGTTCCTGTATGATCACCCAAGTTAAGCAATGTCAAGTTTGGTCAGTAACTAAATGGGTGATTGCTTGGGAATACTAGATGCAGTGAGATCAGATGTGCAGGTGGTGTAATGGATAATGGCTTAAAATTGGAGATCTGAATTACAATTCCAGTTGGGTTTGTTATATTCACTTACAGGGAAATACTCTTGGGAAAGATATTAATCCACTATTACTCTCCCCCAGGTATGGGTTAATTAGTAAAACTTGTATCATTACAGCCTTAGGTATATAAAAAAAAATAAAGGAATAACATTTTGCACAAAACATTTATGTTTCAGCATTAAATAACCAGAGATTGATATGCTGCTAAACAAAACCAACCAATCAATATCCAGCAATAAACACCAATCTTGTGCAAATATGAAAGTGTATGAACTATAACAATAAAGGATACTGAGGAAGGTGCTGGAGATCTGATAAGACTTGCAGTTACCCAATCTCCAACAATAAGCACCAATCTTGTGCAAATATGCAAATGTATGACCTATAACAATAAAGGATACTGAGGAAGGTGCTGGAGATCTGATAAGACTTGCAGTTACCCAATCTCCAACAATAAGCACCAATCTTGTGCAAATATGCAAGTGTATGAACTATAACAATAAAGGATACTGAGGAAGGTGCTGGAGATCTGATAAGACTTGCAGTTACCCAATCTCCAACAATAAGCACCAATCTTGTGCAAATATGCAAGTGTATGAACTATAACAATAAAGGATACTGAGGAAGGTGCTAGAGATCTGATAAGACTTGCAGTTACCCAATCTCCAACAATAAGCACCAATCTTGTGTGAATATGCAAAATCCTGTGAGGAAAAGTCCTTTTATAATTATTTCCCATCAGGAAAAACAACCAACCAACCAAGGCCAAACCCATTCAATACCAATAGGGTCATTGTCAACTCCACAATCCTTTCATTAACTGCATATATTATGTGCTTCAACAAGGTTACATATGGTTTTTGAATTCAGACTTTTCCTTCTCCTAGACTAGCTGCCAACTAAGGCTGAAGATCCCAGGCTACTTTATTATTTAACCCAGAGTTGTAGAGAGAGAGAGAGAGAGAGAGAGATGGATTCACACCTTTCACATGGATATTTGTACATAAGTAAATGTAATGAACTCAACTGGAATTAAAACTCTGCTCTCTGATTTCTCATTCCAAGCCACTATCCACTATGCCACCTGCACATCCTACATCAGGAAATGGTAATATTAGCCGTTTCCTTATAAGGAAACATTTGGGAAATCATTGCCTGAGCAGCCAGTACTACTTTTGGCTGAAATTTACAAAACCTCTTAAAACAATTTTTCAGGTTTTTTAATTCCAGGAGCTTTTATCACTCTTTCCACTATTGATAGGGGTTTCCTTCCAAACCTTCTATTTGATGTTCTGTGAAATGTCATCTTGATTATGCCATTATTTTCTCTTTGAATTATATGTGCTATCCCTTTTAGTTGTTGCTGCTGTTGGTAGTCCTCAAGTGATATGGTTTCTGTTATTTTGTACAATTCTTTGTGATTCTGCAGTGCCAGATTGCAATATTCAGAGAAGGATGATCTTTGCCAAGATGCTCAAGCTTCACCTGTTAAAAACAATTTTTAACTATTGATCTTAGAAAGTGACTGTTTACAGCTTAGAGTTTAGATATTTTTGTATGGGTTTAGTGCCATTCATGACTAAGTGATCTGGGATTGCAAAGGAAATATTTGTCGCAGATTACTTCCACAACATAGAGAATCAATCACTAAGTTCAGACTCAAACATCGAGGGCAGAAAGAAAAGCCGAAAACTTGAGTCGCAGGTACTATCTCACAATGCACGCAACCAGTCAGAAAAATAACTCACTCTCCAACAAACGCCATAGCCAAAATACCCAAATTTTGTCCCCGATTTGAGAACACCAACTGCTTTTATCGGCTGAGCATTTTTTCCATTCTCCGACAGCTGGGAGAGGACGCTCAATTTTTGCATGTCAAAATACTTTTATAGCGACTCCTGCGACGGACTTGTTTTTTTATTTAAATATTTTGTCTTCAGCATGTCATGCAGAATATGTGCCCTTTTTTTTAGTAAGTAATTTTCTTTTTCGCTATATTTTCCATTATAGGATACACGCGACGCGCAGTCGCTTGGTTTGATAAGTCGCCGTTTTCTTCACTATATGAAAGTTTCCAACGAGGTTATGCATGAAAACTTTTCAGGTTTTTGTTTTGGTTTTGTAGCAGTTAGGCAAAGCTACCTCTGGCACAGCCTATTCTATGTTCAATTTTCTTTCAAAAGGTTTTTAATATGCTTCAAGGATTATTCAAATAATGTAGATATATTATTTGTTTGAGGAACAAAAATAACGCCTCGAGTCATTTTGATTTGTGCAAAAATATTACAGTTTCAAACTGAGAAAAATAATGTAGACCCCAGGGCAGTATTCCACATGTCAGATTCAATAAAAGAGAAAAAAAAAGGAAAATATTTTATTTATTTTGAGACAAAAACATATCCAAAAATTAAAAACTTGCAAACTGGTATCAGAAAGACAAAATTATTCAACTTTAAATAATGCTTCCCAAATGTTAATTAAAGTTGGCTGCAAGAACAAAATAGATAAAGAAAAGCAAACAGTAATGAAATACCAATGTCCCCCAACCTTCTCTGTAAATGTCTTACCTTATAATATTCTTTCTTGTCTTTGTACTTAATTTTTCAGAATAGAAATACAAACATGTTTGTGTTTCTTTATGCAGCAGATGGCTGAGATATTGCAAAATCTTTCTATACAGCAACTTTTACACTTCATTTAAAATCAATTGGATAATTTATAATTTTGATAGTAGTAGATAGTGTAGTAGGAATTTGTTTTCATGTTTGCACAGGAATTTGAATTCAGCTTGCCAAGTTCAAATTTTGGTTGGAATTGTTACATTCACATCCACACAAATACCCTTGGGAAAGGTATGAAGTGTGAGAAAAGAAACCGCATGGAACTTATGGTTACATCTAGTCATTTTGACAGTAAAATGATGAAACCTTGTTACCGATTTAGTACTGCACTTAAATTCATAGAGTTGAGCTATCATAGCGGAGTGTATATCCGAACTATTACCATAAAAGTATTTATAGAAAAGGCAGAGTGAAGCAATGTTACGGCAATAGGAAAGTGATTGACAACAAAATGCCAGGTTGGGACAAATAACAGATTCTTTTTTGAATTTTAAAAAGGCTCTCAAAATATATAGCAGAAACACCAAGCCATATGTGACAGCAATATTCTAAACATGAATGAATGGTAAATGTGTAAAATAGATTCTGGCAAGGAAAATTGTCTTGCATGACACAGTGAACCAACCTTCCTAGCAGTCGATTCAATATAATCTTTCCACTTCCATTCAGTGTATTTGCAGTATAAATCATATGTTGGCTATGTTGGCTAAAGAAACACAAACAAACTTGAGAAGATGAACATGTTTAAAAGCAAGCAGCTATGATTTCAGTGTGACTTCAAGATTTAATGAAGTGAGTGAATAATGCATTGGACATTTACTTTGAATCTAATATAATTTGTCAGTTACTGATTAGGTCCTTTTTTTTTTTCATTGTGCCTATATTGTTAATGTAATATTTTATCCTAAAAAGTGTTATTTACCAGGAAAGATTTTTTTTCATAATTATTTTTAAATTGTTTGGTTTCTTAATTTTTTTTTTAATCTTCAATCAAAACAAAATAATGTAATCTTTGTTTATATTTTATCTTTGTAGATGTTAACCAGTTTTGAAATAGAGAGGTAGCAAATTTTACAACCATAGCATAAATAGAAGATGAAAGTTGAAAGATGAAACAAAATTGCCTCATATATTTTATTAAAAAAAATTAATGGACGCATAATCTAAGGGAGGTAACTCATGCCGGCCTCTTTCTTCTGAGCAACAAGCACAACTTACCATTTGTTATACTGGACACAGTCAGTTCGTCTAGACAAGAGGCCTGGCTGCAGAGGCTTGTACAGCTGCTCTGCCGTTGCAGGGACGGTTGACATGGGGAGGCAGATCTACGTCGACTATTAGTGAATAGCCGTAGGTTACAGTGAATGGTTTCAACTGGAAAAAAAAAAAAAAAAAAAATCAAAAGCTGTAAGATTGTAAGAGGTAGGAAAATATCAATTAGTACAAAATGTGTTGACCAAAAATCCCACAATTCTGGCTATTTGAAATTATATCTTGATTTAATTCCATCTGACTGAAGATCTACAATTTTGCCTCGGAGACTCAAGATTTGTGAATTTTTTAAAAGGTTTTAGAAAGCTAATATCTTCAAAAACTCAAGATTTGTGAATTGGTGAGCAAACACGAGGAATATGAAATTAAGAGACAATCAATTTTCTGGAAACAGTGAAAATCAATCATTTTTTTTTTTTTTTTTTTTAATCTGGACAATGTTATAACTGCATTGCATATTTAAACTCTTCTGGTGGAGAAGATCGATTTTTTTTTTTTTTTTTTTTAAAGAAATTTCCTGACCCCACCGAAGTTACTAAGACAGTCGTTGTCAACCTTATTTGCCTGATGCTACCTTTTAACTATACATCAGAATGCCATTTCCCCCACTTTTCAAGAATGTCTAACTCAAAAAGTGCATTCCAAATAATATTCATTCTTTTATTGAAAATCTTCATTCTTTTCCATATTAGTACCTATATATGGATTATTTCTGTAGACAAGTTTTACAAATTTATTAGCAACAGAAAATGTTGATGGATTTATACACATACAGTAATTTGCTTCTAATTTGTTTAATTTTATTTAATAATTAATTATTAAATAAATAAACTGAAGCATATTTCAATAAGCAAACAGTTCAATAGAATGTCATGTTATGTTTTATTTTTTTTATCGTATGACTTGTAGGGTCATATAGGCACCCCATGTAAAGCAGACGTGGTAGAAGTGAATGTTTCTTGGGCAAGATAGCCTGACGGAGCCCATCCCTCTCCAGGTCAGTTTTGAATTCAGAGTTTTTCTTTCTCCTAGTCTGGTTGCCACTCAAGACTATAGAACCCAGTCTGTCCTGCTATTTAGCCATAGCTGGGGGGGAGAAGAAGATTCATACCTTTCCCAAGGGTATTAGCATGTAAGTGAATGTAATGGATCTGAACGGAATTCAAGCTCAGCTCTCTGATTCCTCAATCCAAGCCGCTTTCAACTCAGTTATGTGTCATGCGTGATACATGCTTAGACGATCATGTATCTTTGGATACATAACTGGCAAAGCAGATTTTTTTCCTGCAGTAGGTTGCCGTTTCTTTCTGCAGTAGACCAATTGCCATCCAAGGCTATAGAACCCAGTCTGTCCTGCTATTTACCCATAGCTGTGGGGAGAAAAGAGGATTCATACCTTTCCCAAGGGTATTAGCATGTAAGTGAATTTCAATCAGTTATGTGCCATACGTGATACACACTTAGGCGATCATGTATATTTTGATATATGACTGACGAGGCAGATTTTTCCCACAGTAGGTTGCCATTTCTTTCTGCCATAGACCAGTTGCCATCCAAGGCTATAGAACCCGGTCTGTCCTGCTATTTACCCATGGCTAGGGGGATAGAAGAGGATTCATACCTTTCCCAAGGGTATTAGCATGTAAGTGAATGTAATGGATCTGACTGGAGTTTGAACTTGGCTCTCTGGTTTCTCAATCTGAGCCACTATCCATTACTCCACTGTGCCTATGTCATGTTATTATAATTCAATAAAAAAAATTCTGTAAATAAAAAAAAACAAGAAAAAAATAATAAGATTTCCCCCTGCCCACCAGAAAGCAATCCCTTCACCCCTTTTGGTTGAGAACAACTGTACTAAGACTACTTGATGGAATATTGCATAAAACCTGACACCCACCCCCAGTATAAGTAATATTGCAGAAAGTTCCCCTCACAAGAGGAGTCTATCTTAATCCAAACAACTGTTCAGCCCATCTGACAGCTGAATTGTCATGTAAGAAAAATATAAGACCAGGAAAAACTATGCTGTAATTACAAAGATATTAATGGATATTATTTTTTATCCCACATTTTTCCAGTCTCTTGAGCGATGGATTCAGCTTCTATGGCTTATTGATCCATTGCAGATTAGTTGAAACCAGAAAATATGTTTAGAGAATAAGATTTTTTTTTTTTTAGATAATAATGATTTTAGTGATACCAGTCTTACTAAGTAACCCATAGCTGGGGGAAGAAGTGATGGAGTCTTACCGTTCCCAAGGGTATTTGTACATAAATGAATCTAACAAATCTTATGGGAATTGGAACTTGGCTCTCCTGTTAACAATTCCGAGCTATTTTCATTTACGCCACTCGCACATTTAAGCTTAGAGCACCTGGTATTCCCAAGTGGTCACCTATCTGGGTACTGACCAGGGTTGATGTTGCTTAACTTTAGAAATTGTACAAGAACCAGTTTCAACATGATGTGACAGCATGCCTTGAGGTTGTGCCTTGAGGTCCCAACAGGTACTCATGGCATGACTCCTCCCTGAGAGAACACTTGTTAATCATGTAAGGTGAAAATTCAAAGTCCACTCTGTGATGATGGATCAAAACTAGTTTGGCTTTTGAAGCATTGAATTTGAGCAGCCAGTTTTTTCCCAACTGAGCAGTTAGAGCTCGTTCAGAGGAGAGATCAGATGACAAGCTCTGGTCGTTTAGAGTTTTGGAGGTTCACACATATACCATTGTATCATCAGCATAGATATTGACAAATGATCAGTGCATACTCTTAGGCAGATCATTTATGTAAAGTAGAAGGTGGGTTTGACCAAGAAATGAACCCTGGGGGATTGCTTAGGCTTTTTTTAAATGCTCTGACAAATAATAATTAAACATGTAAAATTTTGTGGAAACCAAAATTCATCCTCATCTATTGCATTCACACTTACACTAATACCAATGGGAAACACGTGAACCCATCTCTTCCCCCCAGTTATGGGTTAAACAGCAGGGTAGACTGAGCCCTTTAGCCTTGGCTGGCAGCCACTCTATGAAAAAAACAACACTGAATTCAAAAGCTGTGAAGAAGGCAATAGCAATTCACAGACAGTAAAAAGAAAAGGAAGTTGTGGTGGGGTATAATCACTATGTCCTTTAAAAAATGATGGGGGAAAACATCGACTTACTTAGATTATACTATTTATATTGTTTATTGGAATCGTTGACAAAACATTGACTATATTTGCTAACTGATTCAAACTATGTAAAATGGTAAAAAATGGTTTACTTTATAGTTGGTTAATAATTTAATAAATGTTTATGAATTAATGGATAAAAATTATTTTCACATTTATTTATTTATAAATTGGTAAATGATAAATATTGCATTGCATTAGTTTTAATTGTATTAGTTTTTAGAACATTGTAAATATAAAATTATTCTTGTAAATAAAACATCTAATAAAAAATTTATGTTTAATATTTTTGTTGTCAATTCTCAAGAACAAAAAAAAAATGTATAAATTCACTTTCATATGTTTAGATTTTATGACAATTCTAATCATCGCTTTTTAAAACGATAAACATTGCCAAAGATTGAAGGTAGTTAAAAAAAATTGGTATCATGTGAAAAATTGTCCATTTGACACTCCATCTTATTGTGAACACGTAAGTCTGTTTGCCAAAAAGAATTATATAATGTCCTGAGAAGAACATTTCTGGAAGCACTTACCAACATGTACAGTTTCACTATAACCAAGATGGAAAAGTCTATGTTTGCCAAAAAGAATTATATAATGTCCTGACAAAAACATTTGTGAAAGCACTTACCAACATGTACAGTTTCACCATAACCAAGAGGAAATTTGCTGTAACGAGGGACTTTGATTGGAGAAATATGTTTGAATCCATCATGAATAAGGGGCTCCAATCGAACTGCAGAGGGATCATGGGAATGGAATAGATTGTACAACTGGTGGCAGGCAGGACGAACAGGAGGAACTGCAAGAAGAAAGCAAAATTAATAAATACTCACTTGCTTTTCAGCAGAATTAATAGCCATGGTGACTGTTAATTATCTCCCTTGATCTGGAGTTGTGTATAAGTAGCCACCATATTGGTTAACACCGGCTCTTTGTAAAAAGCTAACAGTGACATTGTAAGCTTAATAATCTGAAGCCTCTTTGTTTTTTTTAAATTCTTACAATTTAAGTGTTGAAGAATATATCAGTTGGAAACATTATGAGTAAAAAATGTATAAATCTGAAGAAATTGGTAAAGAATTCTGCAGGTAAATTGTTGGGTATTCTTACTAAAATTGTGACATCATTGAAAACCACATTCTTATATATGGATTTAAGGTACCCATAAACATACCCAGGGTATCTGTGGTTAGATGTTCTTAGTATTCTGTATTTGGTTCTTGGAATGACTTTTTCATGAATGTAGTTCAGAATAAACTTTTTTGATCTTTGTAAAAATAGGCTGAAATGAAAGTAAGGGATTCTTGTATTTTCTGCTTAAGTATAGTTTTTTTGTCTTTGCATTTTCCATGTTGACAGGATGATTTTTAGTAGGATATAGAATCCAAACAAAAGAGGAGATAACGGGACAAAGGGGAAGAGATTTTTAACCAATGCACTTTGCTAATGTGTGTTAATCTTCAGATTGAAAGAAAGACAAAACTGTGTGTAAGAAAAATGCATTGAGATTTTTGAGAATAAGAGGGGCAATAAATTAAATCACTTTATCAATTGATATGTCCCGGAAAGGGATATATTTGTTCAAAGTAGCAAAGTGGTTGTTGACTACTGTAACCAGGCAGGACAATCTAGCAGGTAACCGTAATGGACTGGTTCTCATCATAGCGGTAGGCAACAGGCATTGTCAATAGGTATAGTCCTGTACCTCCACATCAGTCTGTATTTATGGCTGACACCAGCCAATCATATTACTGTGAGGGGGAACCCAGGTGTATGCATATTCATTATATCATCAATGAACAGAAATCAGAAAGTGTTTTTCTTTTGTATTTATTTATTTATAATTGATTCATCGAGTCTAGAAGAATCCTCAACAGAATGCAGAAAGCACTGGACAGCCATTTCATCCTATTTTGGGGACCCATCGGCAGTGCGCATCCACTACTGAGAATCAAACCTGGACTGTTACATTATGGCACAAGGGTCATACCCACTGGACCAACGAGTGTCAGTGACAGAGAGGTAACAAAACAGACTCATTATAGTGCCAGCTTTTCACAAATTCTGTTGTATAACTCATCCAAGTCCACTGGGTATAACGCTTGCATCACATTGTAACGGTCTGGGTTCGATTTTCGGTAGTGGATGTGCACTGCTGATGAGTCCCAAAAATAAGACAAAATGGCCGTCCAGTGCTTTCTAGACTTAATAAATTAATTATGATTATTTAAATCCCCCTTAATTTCTATTTATTTATTTATATGTATTAGAGCTGCTAGTGACTGTTGGATTTTAAATCGTCCCACTCCAAGGAGATCTATATTTTTTTCTCTATTAGCTTGTGTATCACATTATGCTATTCATGCTTTTTCAACAGTTAGGGATATTATGCATGACCCCAGTCTTAGATTTATTGCTGAGAAGTGTGAAATCAGCACACACTCAATACATATTCTTCATAGTGAATCCATTTCTCTCTTGATCATACCGACATTTAATAAGTTGAAGTTGTGGTCAGATGTATTACAGTGAACTACCAGTGTGTTTAAAGTGGGGTTATACAGCATATCTCTATAATAATCATACAGTCATCTTTTGAGGTTTCTTGATGTTTTGTCAATGTACACCATTGGAGATTTTGTAAATTCCTGCCTCTGTCTTGTTGTTATATCATTTGTTTCTGTCAGGTTAACTCCTCCTAATTTTCAAAACTGCTACTGCTTTCCAGTCTATAAATACTCAGCAATATCTTTTCTTGCCCTCCTTTCCTTATTTTTCCTCATAGACATCAACATGTAAATTTCTAGTGGAAGAACATGTTCCCTTTTTGGGACATGCATTAACAATACACACACACGTATGAAGAAAAATATATGGAAAAACAAACAAAAATCCTAATATGCAATTATGCTGTTTTAATGTTAATTTAAAGTCAACGTCAGATGTTTCGGTTTCGTAGACCTTCTTTAGGACATATTTATAAAACATAATTAACATTAGACGATATTCAATTCAACATGAAAAGACGATGGACATAAGAGTAAGACTAGTCAAAACAGAATAATATTAACATAAAAACAGCATAATTGCATATTAGGATTTTTGTTTGTTTTTCCGTATATTTTTCTTCATACTGTCAGATCTATATCCATATATTTGCTTACACACACACGTATGTACACACATCTTTCACTTGATTTTTCTAGGACTTTTCTTCTACATCCAACTACACATATTCAAACAATTCACTAGCTTAAATGTTTTCTCCATTAATGCTCATTGTTTACTAACACAAGAAGATTCTATTGTATATGTAAATCCTTTATTGTGAATACATTATCTTTTGTTTTTTTTTTACACACGTATATATCGGTTCTTGTTGTTTCTCTTTCATTTTTTTTTGGTGGACTCATACTCCAAGTCTACCATGTTCGTTGTGGGCATTTTCAGGAGATACACGTATTTATCTCTCGATGCGTACATCCGGCCCACAACCAGAGGAATCAAGCTACATGCATTCCAAAGCTAAGTTTAACTGATTTAACAAACAAAAGAAATAAACTAAAACACATCTTCAACCTTAACTTGGGTTGAGCAGACAAGTCATTCGTGGTAGCACAAAATCTTTTTCCTAACATTTTCACCTGGAGCAAGATATAAATGCCACACAGGGGGTTACAGGAAGTGTAAGAGTATGACCAGACTTGAGTACCTTGAGGTGGTGTAACAGTTAGAAAGCTTGTCTCACTAAAACAATTACAACTAGTAATGAGTTCGATCCTCACATCTAAGCTATGTTTGGAAAGTCACTATTAGGGCACTTAGTTGTGGTGTAATGGTTAGCGAGCTTGTCTCACTAGATCAGTTATGACTGAAAAGTGAGTTCGATCCTCACTAGGTGCCCAATATATTTGGCCTTGTGCCACATCTAAGCTACACTTGGAAAATGGCCATTACAGGGCACCTCGACATGGTGTAATGTTTAGCAAGCTTGTCTCACTAGAACCATTGCAACTGAGTAGTGAGTTTAATCCTCACTGAGTGCCCCATGCTTTCAGCCTTGTGCCACATCAAAGCTACACTTAGAAAATAATTTGGGCACCTCGATGGGGTGTAATGGTTAGCAAGTTTGTCTCGCTAAAGCCATCACAACTGAGTTGTGAGTTCAATCCTCACTGGGTGCCCCATGCTTTTGTCCTTGTGCCACATCTAAGCTGTGCTTAAAAAATTATTTGTGCCACTATTGCTGTACTTTTGAGCAATAAATTTCAAGTATAACCAGACTTTAGTGAGGAAATAAATAAAAATAAGTGTTGGTAGGTTGCAAAGTGGACTGTTGACACTCTTTGACTAGATGACCTGTGTGTTTAGAAAGAGAGAGAGTGTCTCTGTATAAGTTTGTGTGCATGTGCAATTGTGTGCATATCTCTGATGAATGTACAAAAAGACTTGCCTCTGGTTCTTCTGGTGCACAATGTTCCTTATGTCAAGGTTAGTCAAATTAGATAAGCTGTTGTTTGAAAGGCTTTTCAACTAGTGCATAAATCTTTTACAACAATAGCAATTTATCCTGATGTTGTCAGATGAATCTGTTGAAGTCCGAACGAGAAGCCTTGAGTTCAAAATACGCTTCTCTTATTGGATCTAAAAGAACAGTTTGATAGATTTGAATTTGTATTTGCTTCAAGTTACAATAAAGGCATACAAAACAAACCAATGAAGCTAATCAAATCAGAAATCGGCCATCTTAGACTCGTGGCATTCTGGCTAACATCACTCAAGAGAAAAATAAAAAAAAATGTAAAAAGAAAAATAGGTAAAACAAAATTAAATAAAAAGAAAATAATAAGTAAAAGTTACTTACAGCTTCTTTTATAAGCCAGTATAAGTCCAAGAGGTGCTCCAAACATAAAGAAGTCGGAAACTTCAAAACTCAAACGGGCAGCATGACTTGAGTCGTAATGGCTACCACTGCTGTTTCTCTGAGAGACATGGCTTCCTCCACAGTTTCCAGATATTCCATGGACAGACAGATGCTGGTTGGTTGATGCCTTGCGGGTAATCTCAGGTGTCTTGTGGCCTTCAATTTCATGGGTGAACACATCATTACTGACCGGGGAAGGCATTCCATTGTCTTGTAGTATAGAGGTGAGGTCTGGGTTGCTCTGTTGCTGATGGTGACTGCCTGCACCACCTGTATTGTTTTCAACACCCTCTGCATCATAGACACTACCATGGCTTCCATATCGACTGCTGTTCCTTTGGTCCTTCGTGTTGGAGAGACAAAGAGCTTCGTAGGCAAGCAGTGAACCTGCACTGTCAGCAATGAAGCAAACCTTAAGAGGAAGAAAAAAAAAGAAATCAGTTTTTACATATATAAGTATTGAGGTAGATGTGCCTGAAGAGTTGGGTAACCAACAAAACTTAAGTTGCACCACAAACATGTGTATATATTTATTAATGTGTGAAGAAATATAGTTTTATATGGCCTGACGATTGCATCTAGCATGAAAAAGCCTGTTGCCTCTGAGTGTTGAAAATGTCCTCTTTATATATATATATATATATATATTTATTAAATATTTTTATGTTTAACGTTGTTATTTCATAGATACAAGTATTTAAGCAAATGCTCTGTTTATGAATTTCCGTATATATAATCCTGTCAAAGAACGAAAATTTTCTATAAAATTTTCTATTCAGGCGATATTTTTCATAAACAGATATTTGCTTAAATACTTGTATCTATGAAATAACAACGTTAAACATTTATGTCTTTAATAAATAAATTGTCGGACCATTTCCATTTATATATATATATATATATATATATATATATATATAATTATTTATTTAAAATATGATTCCATCGCTACATAAGAGTTCTCATGTTTCAAAACAAAAGCCGAAAACTTCAATATAATTATTTGAATTAAATTGAATTAAAGTACCAAGCTCTGTTCCATCTTCAAGCAAAATTTTTTTTATGGAACAGAGCTTGGTACTTATTTAAATTATTTAAATTTCAATTTAATTCAAATAATCATATTGAAGTTTTCGGTTCTTGTTTTGAAACATGAGAACTTGATGGAATCATATTTTTAAATAAATAATTATATTTAGGCTCTACTTTTGTATCGAGCACTGTTTTTTTAAAAATAATAACAAAAATACTAAAGAACTTTGGATTATTTACCTCACGAATTCTTTCCTATTTTCTTTATATTTTCACACACACACATATATATATATATATATATATATATGTGTGTGTGTGTGTGTGTATTTACGTGTTGCAGTGGAGTAATGGATAGCGGCTCAGATTGAGGAATTGGAGAGCCAAGTTCAAATACCAGTCAAGGTCATTACATTCACTTACATGTTAATAGCCTTCAGAAAGGTACAAATCCATCTCTTCCCTTCAAGTTATGGCTAAATAGCAGGACAGACTGTCTTCTATAGCTTTGGGTGGCAAACAGACTAGAAGGACAACTCTGAATTTGAAACCTGCAGAGGGTTGTTTGGGGCCTTGTGGCATGCTGTGCGCCAGTTCTATGTATTTGGCTATTCCAAAAAAAGACAAAGTGTAGTTGGTTCTTCACAAGCCTTCACCACTCTAATCAAATGATACGTGTGAGTAGCCTGGCCATTGCTTTTAAGAACTGAACTACTTGACCCTCATATGTCAAAAACGAGTCCAGTAAATTAAAAAAAAAAAGTCCAGTAAATATTTGTCACTTAGCTGAAGGATATTATATTCAGCACCTCTACTGCAGAGTTTTGTACATGAACGTTTGTGTTGTCAGGAGGTATCAGCAATTGTCTGTTGATTTTCTCAATTTTGTTATTTTTATATTAAGTTAAAAAAGGTAATGTTGACGTTCAGTGTGTTCCTCCCACGTTTCAGTAGACACCGGTAATTACACTGCTCACTCTAGCAGTAGGTTCAAAGATAGCATCCAGCTTCTAGACAAAAATAAACAGAGTCGTAACTTAATACAAAACTCTGTACCAGTGAACATCAACATGGTCCCAGCTGCACTGCCAGCCAATGTCCCTGACCGTTTTTATTGACCAAAAACACAGTCAACGCACCAATCATCGCCGTTGGCCTCGTTCCCAATCAGAGTCCCCAGCTCGACCAATCAGCATGCAGACCGCCACTAGACAAATCGCGCCAAGCAGCATAAAATAAACAAATGTCGGAGAATGTACTTTTCTTGGGCCAAACTTGCAAGAGGAAAGGTTGATGAAATGATGAACCGTCTAGCTTGGTTTTATGCTCATATCCACCATAAAACAGCAGCCCGACAAGGAAAACATCTTGGACGCTTCGAATCTGGTAAGTGCAAATATTTATCGTCACAGATAATTTATGCATTATTTTATTGGTGTTAGACTGATTTTTTCTTAGTGTGAGTGTGTCTGTGTGTGTGTATGTGCACATGTGTAGGATGTTGTGTAGCCAATGCATTTTGTCCTCTGAGAGACTATCAAGCCAATGTGCCTTGATCACATTGTCTTGATAAAGCCTCTCAGAGGACAAAACACATCAGCTAAGTATAGTTTTTCCTCGTCTCTGTATTTTGTCTCTTCTACAGATACACTCCACCTGATTATATATATATATATATATATATATATATATATATCAAATATGTGGTGCCATTCAATTTATATTACAATGAATCATTCATACAAAAAGTAGATTAGTAAAGTTAATGATATAATGATATGCATGCTCCAAAAGTTTGTATCCGTTAACAATAACACATTTAAAAAAAGAACATATTTCGATTCGCATTATATTTTTTCATCTCAGATACTACCTGAATTTTACCAAAACAAAATAATTTCCATGCCTGAAGATGACTGAATGCACAGTTGAACGTACTTGCATATTAAAGAAAGACCTTATACAGCGTATAATTTTAAAAAACAAGGATCATAACATTCGAGTGATTTGTAGGTTAATGCACCGTTAAAATTATGTTAGCAAAGGGATTTCATCATTTTATATCATTAACTTCACTAATCTACTTTTTGTGTGAATGATTCATTGTAATATAAATTGAACTGCACCACATATTTGATTTAAAAGAACTGATCCAACATGCAAATTTTCAGTATATATATATATATAGTGGAATTAAAGTCTGATGATCCGCAGTCCTTTAAAAGGGCTGCGGTGAAATAATTTATTACATGGAACTTTAAAGTGGTCTGTTTTTATTTAAATTATTTGCTCTGGATTTACATTGAGCTCTCTGGATTTTATCCTCCTTGGGTCTACACATACAGATTACCTAATTTTTCATAGACTATATATATATAGTCTTAAGGTGTGCTATATTTATGAAATAAAGTGCTCAATATCAGAGATAGAGTGTGTGTAAATATAAAAGTGAACATAGAAGTCAACACTTCTACATATATATATATATATATATATATATATATATATATATATATATATGGCAGTATTCAAGATTTTGCTGATTCAAATTATATTCAGCACTTCTACTTTTTTGTTTAAGTTTTGTAGATGAACCTTTTGGTAATTATTCAGTCTACTCGTCAGGAGGTATCAGCAATTGTCTGTTGATTTTCTCATTTTTGTTATTTTTATATTAAGTTAAAACAAGATAATTTATGCACTTTTTTATTTGTGTAAGGTTCATTTTTTTTCTTCTTCTTTGTGTGTATGTGTCTGTGTGTAAACCTGATATTAGGAAAATTAATGACAAAGTTGGAAAAAATTTTTGTGAGATGCATTTCATCCTTTAAGACTTTGTTGGACTAATGTAATGTTTCTGTTGCTGTAACTACACATGTGAATGAAGCTAAGAGGGAATATAAAAATTCAAATGTTAGTTATGCATAGATATGAATCACTGAAAATGTTGGGAAGCTGAAATTTTAAAATTTTAGATTTAAATTTTTTTTATAAATGTGTTTGGGTATAAAATCTATCCAATTTCATTTACTTTGTTTTTCTTTATGCTTTTTATTACTTTTATTATTAAGTATACTATATCGAAATAATAGAAAATCTGTCAAGAAAGGTGAGCCTGGATGCAAATTCACTGTAGATGATCTAACGATTAAAGCACTTTCTATATACTTTTGTCTTACTAAATTGCTCTCTCTTTTAACTAGCATAGCATTTTTTTAAATCAAAGTTATGGTCCAATTATATTCCCCTTCTCATGTTGCCATATAAACATATCTTGAAGAAATAGACCTACAAACGTCCAGTATCATTCCTTCTGGTATTTGAACACATTCTTCTTCAATTGCTACTCTCATTTCAGCAATTGTTTCAGGATTCCTGCTGTAAACTTTGTCTTTTAGAAACCCCCACAAAAAAAAAGAAAACCAAGGGTGTTAAATCTGGTGATCTAGGAGGGTATTCAACTGTCCCTCTTCTTCCAATCCATCTGTTTTGCATGTTCTCATCCATATAAAAAAAAAAATGTATTATTAACTATTAATATTTAAAGAGTGTATACAGTATTTTGGGACACCCTGTATATACATATATATATATATATATAAATAAATAAATATTGACATATGACCTGATGATTGCGTCTATCATGAAACATCCTGTTAATTTCCCTCTGAAAGTTCTCCACTGCTTTAGCTGGGTATTGAATTCACACTCTTTGGGTTCGGTCACTGGATCTAACTAACGCCTTTATCCACTGTGCCATGTGTCCTCAAGGACGCATGGCACAGTACAACATTCCAATCACCAGAGTACAACAGCCGAAACATAATAAATATGGCGACAAAGATGAGGACAATAGTTCGAATAATGTAAATAATGTACATAATACCTCATCTCAGAAATATAGACAAATCTAACCTTGTAGATTAAATAAAGAGTTTAATTCATAATTCTCTGTAGGTTACCCAGATTGACATACACCCAATAAAGGCTGGATGCCACAAAATCGAAACATTATGATAACAACAACAAAGATGAGGACAATAGTTTGCATGTAAACAATCTAAGTATATATTAAGATATTTCTGCTGCAAAATAGCTATATATTGCACTATGGAATGTATGGGCAAACACTTCAAAATTTTTCCCCTCAAGTAATTCAAAAGATAAAAATTTCTTTAGTTGAACAAATTGTTAGCTCAGTGACAGTAAAATGTTCTGAATATTTCAGAATATGTTACTTACTAGCTTAAAAGCCACCCTATCGAGCAGCATTTAAGCTAGCTCCTGTGTTGGATCTTCATGGGGCCTTCACTATAATAGGTAGGAAGGAGATGCGATAGGCCACAATAAACTATAGAAGAACTCAAAAATTGATTGCTACATTTAAGTATTCCATTAATATTTAAGCATACCTTTTAAAAGTTCAACAATAATTCTTCTGCTGCCACTTAATTTAAAGATAATTTGATGTATGTTGGTCCTTACTTTCTATACAAACAATTATTTTTATTTCATGGGTGACTTTTCCTGGATTTCACAATTAATTTTGATTATTCCCAAATTTATTTTGAAGCTATAAAAATTATCGTACAAAAAAATTTATTGAAAAAAAAAAAAATCACGTAAAAAAAATCACCAAAAACAATTGCGATGATGAAAACTTGGGAATCCAAAATTTTAGGATTGCGGATCTGGATTTGGCCCAGAATGTTTTTGATTTGCTCACAGTGTCAACCTGATTCCAAAATGGTATATGTTGGGCTTTGGCCTTTAGGAGTAATGTTGAAAAAGTGTGACAGAGTGACACACTGACATTTTCAATTATTATATTGATGATTCCTTTGCTCTTTCTTGGTTCTTTTTGTGGGAGGAACGTCCAAGTCCTTTTATCATCCAATGCCTGCTATTTCTTAGACAATAGTTTCATCATGTTCCTCATTATAACAATTTTCAACATCTGGAATAAAACCATTTATTTTATCTTGAGTGTGTTTCAATTCAAGCCCTTTACACAGTATAATGTCAAATGGTTTCTAAACTTGTGACAATATGAAAATAAAATCATTGAATTTTGCCAGTCTTCTCCTAAGTGTTGTTTTCTCTTCATGACATGGGCGATCATTGCCCTCCACAGCTTCTTATCCCTTGTAGCTCTTAGTAATATTTGTCTTTTTGCTATCCATCCCTATTCTACGGTCCATTTGCATAAGCTGATCAGATAGATGGCCCAATGCCTTCCTTTGTCTTTTTCGCCTTTGATATATCCTGTGTCAAATTTTCCAAATCTTCTTTCCTCATTGTGCATCCTAGACATCTGTCTGATTCTGAATATTAGCATCCTTTTTGTTTCCATTTTCCTTAATGCTTCTTCATTGCTTATGCACTTTGTCCATAGTATTCTCAGCGTCCTTCTGTAGAACCACATTTCTGTGGCCTCAAGTCATCTATGAGGAGATAGTCCAGCATTCACTGCCATAGAGGAGGATTGATATTACATGTCAGTTTAGCTCTCTTTTCTTTTGTTGCTCATGAAATTTTCCTTTTTCTTAGTATTTTGCTTAGCTTCCGGAAAGCATCTTTTGCTATTTCAATTTACATTCAGTATCCTTATTAACAAAACATTTCACTTCATCCCACCTTTCATTATTGTTTAGAATATTCCAATATGTATTATTTACATTATTTGGACTGTTATCATCATCTTCCATTGCCATATTCAAGTTTCGGCCATTGTACACTCCAACCTTCTTCAGATGATTAAAATTTTGAACCAAACCCTTTATTTCATCCACCGGAATAGTGTTCTAGTTCCACATGCCATTCCTCTTCCGGATATCTCAATTATTTCCCTTTAACTCAACTCTCCAAGTTTTTGGTTCACTATTGATGTGGCCTGGTATTGAACTCACAACTCTTTGGGTCTAGTCACTGGATCTAATCAACATCTTTGTCCACTGGGTCGAAATGTTGTGAATATGGCAATGAAGATAAGGATAACAGTCTAAATAATGTAAATAATGCAAGTAATCATAATACCTCATCTCAGAGATATAGACAGATATTTCGATATGTATTTTTCAAGTTTTTCGTGCAACTCATTTACAGCTGACATAGTTCTGAATCTATAGCACCACTTTCTTCCATCACACATTTAAGGAATGCCGATATTAAAAGACACTTTCCTATATTATACTCAAAGACACAAATGTGCTAAAGTCATGTAAATATGAAAAATATTTTAACTTGTTGTGACCAAGTAAATGGTTAAGAAATACAAAATAAGTGTTGCAGATATATCATATATTAAACAATAAGTACAACAGAAGAGTATTACACAACTAGTGAGTATGTGTCAGTTGACCCAGCATTCAATCTATTCGACAGTTCCCCAAGACTTTCTCTCCTACTAATCTTATAGTAGGTGGAAGAGTCCAAAATAGACTCTTTAGAGGGAGGACACCACTCAGTTGAGGTTTCTAGGCCACATAAGGAAGAAAGAAGGCTTGGAAAATATGATACTCACAGAACTGATTGAACGCAAGAGAGACAGAAGAAAACAATAAATAACATGCTTAATGAGTGTGAGTAAATGGATGGCAGAACAGGGTTTAGGGATAGGAAGTTTTGGAGAGCCATGATCACCTACGTCCTGAGAGGACATGGCGCATAAAGAAGAACTTTCTCAGCACTTCTACTTGAAACTGAGCTTAAGCAGATTTTGTTAATTTTGTTTATGGTTATTGAATATTAATTCAATCCTGAAAAAGAAGAATCTGCAATCTTATTGGTCCTGACCTGGCATTTCAGCTTCAGTCTCTTTCCTTCTGATGTAAAACAGCTTCCCTATGCTTTTTCTATAAATATTTTTATGTCAACTGTTCTGGTAAGCTTTCCTCTTTTCTATCTTGTCTTTACAAATTTAAGCAAAGTACTATATTGACAGCTAGATCCCATCATTTTAGATTTTAAGTGGCTAGATGTAACTATAAATTCTATACTAACCGTCTCTTCTCTTGCACTTCACATTTCACAATCTCTCTTCCAGCTTGTCACTTTCCAGTTAACTTCGATTTACAAAAATTTAAATGCAATGTCAATTGCTATCTTCTGTCTTTGTAATTCCTGTTCTTTTATTGTTCTTTCTTCATAATTATGCTTTTCTTTTTTTATATTCTCTAACAGTAACCTCTTGTGTCTTAGTGGCTTTATTGCCTTGCTTGGGGGAAATGAATGAAACAAAGTTTGGGAAATACTGTTATAGATTAAGTAATTTCATTACAATGGTAATCAACCTCTTCTGACCAAATAGTCATAACAGAAAATTTTTTGTGGGCAGATTGTGGGTGGACATCAGTTCTGGTGACTAATGATTTTGAAACATAATTACCTGGCCAGTAAATCCTTGTCCTTCATCTGAGCGAAGGAACTCCTGGTACACGTGGTTGGCTTTGCTGATGACGACAGATACATGCTCATCAAAATCCGAACTTGATGAGGCAAACAAGGCTATGGCTCCAAGAGGGATAAATTCTTGAGTCAGGGTCAGGTTTGGGTTTCCATCCTTCACACCCAATGAGTCAGAGGAATAGGGACTCAGACTACAAAGATCAAACAGGAATAATCACAGGCAAAACTGATAATGAAATTAAACAAAAATTCAATTTTTTGCATGTTTGATAAAAATGCATATGAAATCTGGTTAGCTGCAAATTCTTTCATTTTATGAAGAAGAAACCCAAAACATGAATATATAAATAAAAAAAACAAAAATTTCATTTAAAATTCTCAGCATCCCCCTCTCCTTCAGGTGCATGTGTAACCACACCAAAGTAAAGATAAATTTAGTCAATTAAGTTCTAAAGGACAAAACACATTACATGAAAACTTTTTCTACTTTGTCATACTTCTTTCCCATAAAATTGTTCTTGATATATAAAAAAATTACATATCATTTTCCCATATATATATATATATTTTAGTCAAATGTTTTTCTCTTAGTTTTTAAAGTTGTAAATAGTCTGTCATTTTATTCACTCTATTGTAAACATTTTATTAAGTGTAGTTTAGAAAAGAAAATAAGAATAAAAAAGTAAGAAGAAAAGAAAGACAAATAAGTTAGTTAAAAGGGGAGGTAGAGAAAGAACAAGTCGCAAGACAAGCCAATATAATAATTTGTTTTTTGTGTATATATGTGTTTGTGTATGTATATATATATATATATATTTATGTGTATATTTATTGGTTTGTTTTCTTCTATTCTTCCAAAAATAACACCCATTCTTGGCCGCATGTAGGAAGATCTATACAACTATGCATACCTAATCTATAACATCGAATAGCCCAAGCGAAGTCTTGATTGGTTGTTGTCTACTGGGGCAATTTATATAATTCACATCCTAAAGCTAGTGGCAAATTTTTGTTCTAGGTGCGGGCCGAATACTGATCATATTCGGTCGGGTCGACCCGAAACTTCTAGTGACATGGGAGCAACAACACTGACGACGCATCTAGATTCAGCACTTAAAGGTGTATTTTAATAATAATAATAATAATATATATATAATTAGTTAATGGTCAGGGATGAATTGGACCAGGGAACAGTAGTATTAAAAAGTGCTCAATACATGTGTGAAAAAAAAAAAACATGTAAAGATTTTTTGTTTTATGGTTATTGAACTGAAGACAGATTTTTTTGTTTTATATATATATATATATAATTATTAATTTTTTAAAAATATGATTCCAACACTACATAAGAGTTCTCATGTTTCAAAACAAGAGCCGAAAACTTCAATATAATTATTTGAATTAAATTGAATTAAAGTACCAAGCTCTGTTCCATCTTCAAGCGAATTTTTTTTTGGAATAACTTATTTCTGAAATTTATGCATTTTATAAGCATATTTATTATTGAAATTAAAATTACTATGGTAACGGCTAGAGCAATTGTTTAAAGAAAAGGGGCATAAGGGTTAATAATTTGAATCAATATCTCAGTTACATTCAAAGACGTCAAGTCAGTGTAAGGTTGGGGTGTCCAAATTTAAAGCGGAAGATGACATCGTCTAGTCTGGTTTAGTGTCTATGGAGATTTATTTATTTATTTTTTTTTTCTGAAAGGGTTTTGTGTATATAAAATAAACCGTTATAAGTCGCTAACATTTGTTTTTTGGACAACTTCATAAAGGGTTATCTTTTTTCTTTTTTTTCTTATAGGGCATTTAAACTATTTATTTAGACTATGAAATTTAAAAATTATGTTATTGTTTGTTTACGCTATGCTTTAGAAATTAAAAAAATTAGGAGACCAATTGATTTCACTACCTTGGTTTTAACCTTATGTTATCCTTAGGTGACTTTTATCAACTGAACTCCCAAAGCATATGACCATAACAATTTTTCATGAATAGAGGTTTTTCATGCCCTATAACTGTTATTGCATTTCCCAATATTGATGGGATTTTCCTTCCTAACCTTTTATTTCAAGTAGTGTAGAATGTCAATATCTCGATTATATCATTACTTTCTCTTTGAGTTACATGTGATATCCATTTTAGTTGTTGCTGTTGTTGGTAGTCCTCTAGTGATATGGTTTCTGTTATTTGGCACAGTTCTTTGTTTTTCTATCATACCCTAAAACTATATTTTATCATTTTTACATATATATATATATATATATATATATATATATATATATATATATATATATATATACACTGTGTGCCAAATTATTATCGAGATAACTTTTTTCTAATATTTCAAAAACCGTCCAATCAATTCACACAAAATTTTCACACGATGTTGGCAACACTGAGCTGCGCAATCACTGAAATTTTCCTACTGATCTGCGCAATGTAAACAAACTGGCGCCTTATTTGTTATCAGCACGGTGATTTGAGTGTGCCAAATTATTAAAAAGATTTAGTAAAATTCCCGGAATTTAGCAAACAAATGTTTATTAATGTTGTTCATGAATGTTTATAATCAAAAGAAGCTAATAAATAAGATAATCAAACAAATAATAACAGATACAAACAAAGGCACAGTTTTAAACAAATTAATAGGGAATGTGCTTTCCCTGTTTTGAAATTACTTGAAAAAGTCAACAATCCATAGAATTTGTTAATTGTAGGATGTCATCTGCTGTAATGCTGCGAGATATGTCAAGAATTGCTTCCCACAACTCAGCGTTGCTCCTGAATTGTCATCTGTTGGCATACAGTCTTCAATTCATGATGCTCCAAAGGTATTCGATTGGGTTCAAATCCGGAGAATTTGCTGGCCACTTCATTTTTTGAGGTCCATCGAAGCCTAACTGTTTCATATATTCAGTAGTCTTGTGAGCAGTGTGTGAGGGAGCATTATCTTGCATAAAAACAATGGCCCTTCTGAAGGCAACTCTTAACCTTTTCATCCACGGTTCAAGATGCTCCTTCATAAATGCTATGTATGCATCAGCAGTTATTTTGACGCCTTCTGGTACTCTCCATGGGCCCACTAATGTTTTTCCAATAATACCACCCCAGATCATTATGCCTCCACCACCTTGTTGGCGTCTCAAATGCTGATGGCGATTCTGTTCATTCATTACCCAGCCTTTGCACCATCTATCTGGCCCATCAAGTGTTGCTCGAGTTTCGTCTGTGAACAAAACTTTAGAGAAGTCAATCTTCATATTGTCCTCGGCCCATTTCAATCGATTTTGAATGTGATTTCTCATCAACAGAGGCTTCGATACAGCTTTGACTGTTGTTGCTATTTCCCTCAGATACCGATACCGAGTACTTTTAGACACAGTAGGATCCCCAATACGACTGAAAAGCTCTTGACTGGTAAGTCCAGGGTTCTTCGTGGCCTCTCATTTAAGTCGTGACATGAGACGACGTGAAATAACCCTTGCCTCCCTTTATATGCCCTTTTGCATACTTGTGTAGGGTCGGCGGTGAATTTTTGACTGTTTGATGATACTTCCCTATCATTTTAAAAATTTCTAGGGCGGATTTACCTTTTGAGAGTTCTGAGGTAATAGTTTTCTTTTCAGCATCACTTAAACTGCTTTTACGACCCATCTTTTCACTAAATTCTTATACTTTTTTAATAATTTGGCATGCTCAAATCACCGTACTGATAACAAATATGGCGCCAGTTTGTTTACATTGCGCAGATCAGTAGGAAAATTTCAGTGATTGCGCAGCTCAGTGTTGCCAACATTGTGTGAAAATTTTGTGTGAATTGATTGGACGGTTTTTGAAATATTAGAAAAAAAGTTATCTCGATAATAATTTGGCATGCAGTATATATATATATATATATATATGTAAAAATGATAAAATATAGTTTTAGGGTATGATAGAAAAACAAAGAACTGTGCCAAATAACAGAAACCATATCACTAGAGGACTACCAACAACAGCAACAACTAAAATGGATATCACATGTAACTCAAAGAGAAAGTAATGATATAATCGAGATGTTGACATTCTACACTACTTGAAATAAAAGGTTAGGAAGGAAAATCCCATCAATAGTGGGAAATGCAATAACAGTTATAGGGCATGAAAAACCTCTATTCATGAAAAATTGTTTTACAAGAAAGATTTTATGAATTTCAACTGACAGCAGCACTGGCTGCTTAGTCAATGAATGGTGAATATATCCTTCTAGAGAAATGGCTAATATTACCATATTTATGAATAAATGTGCTCAATATTCAGGTGTGTAAAAATAAGTAGACACTGAGTGATAACAGTCTGTTTCATGCAATCTTCAGATATACATATTATTAATGAAGGAATATCAAACACTTAAAACTCCAGTGGTAATAATCTTTATTTCATGAGAGCTCTAAAAAAGCAGCTCTCAATCTTCAAGACCTACAAAGAAAACCTAATAAAGATTATTACCTATGGGATTTTAAGTGTTTGATGTTCTTTAATTAATAATAATTTTGCTCTGTCTCTTGACATAGAGCTCTCCCTGGATCTATATCCTCCTGTAAATTCTATACAGATTATCATTACTATATATATATATATATATATATATATATAATTGGACATTAAAGTCAACACCCACAGGTGACTGACTATTTCATGCTAAATGCAATTGTCAAACCATGGCCTGATGATTGCATGATTGATTCATTAAGAAGCAGACTGGCACCGCCATCTGGGTGATGACTTCAACGTCTACTTATATATTTATTTAAACATACAGTGGGCTATGATAAGTTTTTACCCATCCTTAATTACAGCAATTTTGGCTTGTGTAATAACACATCTTCTTTTTTACAGACAATACCATGTTAGCATCAAGCTACTCTAAGCTCAACAACAATAGTTGACTTATATTTTGCAGTGAAAGTTTGTGGAATTAATGAAATTAGTGAATTTCAACAAGGGCAAATAATAGGATGGCATCAATGTGGCAAGTCAAATAGAGAAATTGCTAGGTTTTTCCAAGTTAATCATCAAATGGTTAATAATATTTTCAAGAAATTTAATGAAGAAGGCTATTGTTGTGTTGAACAACGTTCAGGAAGACCAAGCATCGTGTCTGAGTGAACAAAAAGGGCGCTGAAGAGGGAAGCCATCAGAAACCATCGTCAGAGTGTCAAAGATGTCACCGACAGCATGGAAATGTTGCCATATGCGGTAAGAAAGAGCTAGGCTACCAAAGAAGAGTTGCAAGAAACAAGCCCTTGATTTCAGAGGTTAACAGGAACAGGCGTATGGATTGGGCGAGAGAATTCGAGAGCAAAGATTATGAATTTTGGCAGTCTGTAATTCAAACAGATGAAAGTAAATTCTGCCAATATTCGAATTCGAGACAGGTTTATGCTTGGAGAAATCAGAATGAGACTTGGAACACTGAATGTCTGCAAGCAACTGTGAAACATGGAGGGATTGGAATAATGGTGTAGGGTGCTGTCTGGTTTGGAGGGAAATCTGAACTGATTCTTGTTGATGAGCAGTTGAATGGTCCAAAATACTATCAAATATTAGAGAAAGGACTACTCCCACTATTTGAAACCAATCAAATTGACAAGAATGTCTACTTTTTTTCAAGAAGATGGAGCACCGTGTCATACAAGCAAAGTAGCAAAGGTCTGAAAGGAATCGCAAGGAATCAAGTCACTGCCATGGGTAGCCCAAAATCCTGACATGAATCCAATAGAGCATGTTTGGGAACACCTTTACTGAAAATTTCAAGGGTGTGCAACCAAAATCACGTCAGTGGCAACGCTTTAAAAAACATTGCTAAAGGAGTGGCAAAATATGGATCAGACGATTGTTAATAACTTGATCAAATCCATGAAAAGCACCTACTCCATACTAGTTCCAAATACTGTTTATTTATGTTGAGTTGGGATTACGTAATTAAATTTTGAAATTGGATGTAGTTTATTTCTCCTGGCTAAAAACTTTTCTTAGGCCACTGTATATTGTTAAATATAACACACAACAAATGTCTATTATATATGATCATGAGTCATTCTAAACTCCATATATTTGCTTTAATTTCAAGTGAAAATAAAGACAAAAATTGTCCAATATTTGGATATTTTTTTATTAAGCTGTTCGTTGATCTAAGCTTTTGGCTCACATGAGCCATCTTCAGAGTGGTCATGCAGACATTTAAAGATATTCACCATCAAAGATGATATTCTGTTATGCTGACATAGAAGATTGCTAGGCGATGATAAGGGTCACGGAATAGCAGACAAGGTCATAAATTCATGATGAATTTCTGTGACGTTGTACCACATGAGAGACCGAAATATTAACAACAGAACCATATGTCTAGATACAATATAATGTGTTGTGACTAGTTTGAAATCTAATTTTGTTGAGTGTGGCTTGATTTGTTTTAATGTAGATGGCCTCCAATATCTGAAGGTACTTTTTACTGTGTCTATAGATGAGTATTGTGGTGTTATCAACTAATATCTGTCTAATATTATGTACATGGCTATGTTTTTCTAAGAAATGTTGTTTAATAGAACTAAGATCAGAAAGGTGAGTCTATGGGAGAGCGTGGTTGTAGTCAAACAAATATATGTAGTGGGTTTATTATTTTGTTATTATCATTATATATATATATATATATATATATATAAAAAATCCTTTATAGAATTGTTTCGATGCAATCACAGTTCAGATGGGCTGACCATGTCATGAATGAGTGATGATCGGATGCCGAAAATGCTCATGCATAGCCAACTTTTTCATGGTAAGCGTAATGAAGGCCATCCTTGGTGACTCTTCAAGGATAAACTTAAATACAATTTAATTGCTGGCAAAAATCCCTATAAAGGAATTCAAAATTGCTGTTGAAAACCGAACAAAATGGAGAAACACCTGCTTCCAAGGTATAACTAACTTTGAAGAGAATTAGAACAACCATCTGAGAGAATTAAAAACCATCAGACAACTCTTCAATATGCCCTTCATGTGGACCTTTTCAAACATACATTGTTAAATATAAAAGACAACGAATGTCTCTTTTGTTTGATCGTGAGCCATTCTAAACTTTGTATAAGTGCTTTAATTTCAGGAGAAAATAAAGACAAATATTGTCCAACATTTGGATATTATTTTTATTATGCTCTTCCTTGATCTAAGCTTTCGGCTCACATGAGCCATCTTCAGAGTGGTTATATGGACATTTATACAAAGATATTCACCATCAAAGATCATATTCTGTTATGCTGACATAGAAGATTGCTATGCAACAATAACGGTCGCAGATACAGATCATAAATTCATGATGAATTTCTGTGACGTTGTACCACATGAGAGACCAAAATATTAACAACAGAACCATATGTCTAGATGCAATGTAATGTGTTGTAACTAGTTTGAAATGTAATTTTGTTGAGTGTTGGACAATTTTTTTCTTTATTTTCACCCGAAATTACAGCAAATATACAGAGTTTAGAACGGCCCATGATCAAACATAATAGGCATTCATTATTTGTTATATTTAACAATATATGTTTAAATAATGATCTGCTGCCCCAGTACACTAAATTATATATTTATATACACCCTATCACTGATATTGAGCACTTTAAACCATAAATATAGCATATCTTAAAATTATATTTTATCATATATAATGGATTCTCCCGTCGGTTTCAACGTATGAGGATCTGACAGCTTCTTGATTCAGTTATGAAATTTTGTGCAATAATCTTAAGTGGCATTTAAGACCTGCTAGTGAATTTACAAAGGAGGCCACATATGGAGCAACTGTGAAGATTGTGAGATGAGATCACTGTTAAATTGGCTGACCTTTTAGATCTTGCTCTCACTTCTTGAAGATGATTCAGACAAGCAGATTGAAAATTGCTACATCATATATATATATATATATATATATATATATATATATATATATATATATTTATATATTTGAAATCATTTCTTAGTACTATAAATATTATTTTTAGTGGATACATGTTGCTTGACTTTTTAACCCGTTTTTTTGTTTTCTTAACAAATTTGACTACAAAACTGTGAAGATATGAAAAACATCAAGAGGTCTATGAAAGAAGAAATTTCACTTGAAAGCACAAAATTTGGCCTTGCCTGACTGTGCTCTTTGTGGCTGTTCAGAAGGCGTAACAAGCTAAATGGTAACACCCTCTGCTCTGAGGGACACAGATTCAATTCCTGCTGGAGAGCACAAATTATTCTTTAATAAGATTTCTCAAGCATTCTAGCCAGGAGAGAAAAATAAATATACTGTTTAATAAATAAACAGAGAGTCTACTCAAATATGAGCATCCACTAAAAAAAACATTTAGAGTTATAAGAACAACATATTCAAAATGATTAAATTAAAAATTCCTTCATGGTTACTCAGACTGACAAACATTTTGTTTTACGGCATATCAACACCTCAATGGGTTATTTAATGCCAACAAGATTTTTAGGATAGGTTTATATGAATAAAATATGTATTCTTCATCAGAAATCAGTTTGGTTTGGTTTATTTTGTTTCACGGCATATTGACGCCTCAATGGGCTATTTAATGTTGATGAGATTTTTAGGATAGGTTCATATGAATAGAATATGTATTCTTTGTAAGAAATCAGTTTGTATATTAGGTTTTATTGAAAGTGAAATGTATTGCTGGTTATTTTTTTCAATAATGGATTACTGGTATTTTTACTATAAAAATCTACCTTTATATTTTCATAGTGTTTTGACCCCAGTTTGTGATTAACTATTTGTCTATAGCTGGGACCCTAACAGGTACTGCCACCTCAGGTCAGGGTGAGAACACCAGCAATTAAGAGCTGGTTCCATACCCATGAAAACCTCCCGATTGAAGGCCTTGCTGCCGAATGTAGTTTATCGTCATAACCTGGACAGAGGATATTAGTCCAGTTGTGAATAATGTAAATAGAACTTCAGACAACATTAGATCTGTTTATCATGCACTGCATGCCGTGTGTAGAGGGCATGTTTGGCATATGGCCACTTTGAGTTTGAGGATCAAATTTACCCACAACAGTTTATGAATGTCCATCAAATGGTAAGGTCTAAGCCAGTCAAAGTAAGGAAAAGACTTACCCAGAAAGAATGTTGAGTGATTCTGCACAGGAAGAAGGGCAATGGATGAGGCGGAAAAAGACGCGATTAAGTGCTGATGGATAATGAGCATTGATCACAGTGTCAAAGGTGTTTTTAAAAGTGGCATAATCTCCACGGATGGATGGGAATTCCTGTCCTGTTTCCAAAAGACAGCCTAAGAAAAGAAACAAAATTTGGCATGAAACACAAAGATATACACAAAAAAAAACAACAAATTTATAAAAGAAAGACATTCTTGCAGAACATATTGTTAATAACTTTAAGAAGAGTCATTATCATACCAAAAATTTGTGTCTATATTTCTGAGATGAGGTATTGTAATTATTTACACTATTTACATTCTTTGGACTGTTGTCCTCATCTTTGTTGCCATGTTCACAATGTTTAAACCATTGTATGCCCTGCCCTTCTTCAAGTGAATATATAGTGTAATTAACCACAATACCTTATCTCAGAAATATAGACAGATATTGAAGGAATATCACCTGAAGAAGGCCAGAGCATACAATGGCTGAAATGTTGTGAATATGGCAACAAAGATGAGGACAACAGTCTAAACAATGTAAATAATACCCAAAGTTATTCAGACAAACCTCCTTGAATGCTTCTTTTTGTTAGCAACTCTTCTCTCTCCAGATATGGGTTAATTAGTGGAACTTGTATCAGCAAATCATTATTATCTCCAAAATAAATTCTTACAATCTAAAATATTTACTGGATTTTTTTATAACCTGCAAGAGGTTGATAAACTGTAAAAACTAACAATCAATCAACTTCTTAGCATAACACTGTGGCTGATTCCACCCAAATCAGATAAGGAAAAAAGAAAAAAAATTAAAAATGGTGACAGACACTTTGGAATTATCTGAAACTGTGGAGGTCCAGTTGGTGGATTGATGACCTTATCCAATTGCCATTTTTATGTTTTCTTGAAGAAAGAGGCATTCTTTTACCTTGTGGAACACATCTGATGAAAGCTAAAGAACATATCTGCCAATTTCATTCTAACAACAGCAGGTATACATAGAGCAAAAAGTTCAATTGTCTGAAAAATATTGTATAGGTTATTCTCATTCAGTAAGGAGGGAGCTGTTCAACAGGTGTCACCTGACCCTCATCTTGTGACTGTTAACAAACTATAAAAAACAATGGCCTAAAGATTCCTTGGAATTGATCACTCACATAGTAAGGGAACACATGAGCAGCAGGTGTCAGGGGACTGTCATCTACCAACTGTTTGCATCAAGCAAAAAATATTTCTTGGTCAGAAAATTAAATCAATGTGGCCAGTGAGAGAATATAAAGCACGAAATGAATAGGTTAAAGATTAATAATTCACATTTATGTAAAACTAGTTGGAAAAACTGGTGATTTTTTAAGTAACAAACACAGGGTCATATATGTAGGAAAAGAGAAAAATGAAAGGGGAGCAAGACTTGAAGAAATGTGGTCTGTGATACTTTGGGGAGTTGGTAAGATTTTCTTTACTGAAAACTTTGGAATAAAACAAACAGACTCAAGGGTATAAAATAAATAATATATTTTTATTTATTTGCTTCAGAGTAAATCCTTTGATATTCAGTGTCACAAAATGTTCAACTATAAGGCGGATATTGATAGTAGTCTAGAGAAAGTCCATTTCAGCTCAGTATTCAAGAGTTTGGAAAGTCAGCACTTGATCCTAGTCATAGTCATGTTAGAAATAGGTCAGTGTCAATATACTGTGTTTTTCTTGGCCATAAGCAAAGCAGAAATATACTACTACTTCCCATGTCACATCGTCTCACTGGATTTACACAACCTTTAAAGTGAAGACACATGATGAGGAATAAAAGTTTGAAATATTTAACACACACAATGAAGAAGTCTTAAGTAAAATGAGGCCATTTTTAATTTAGATTGGAACCAAAAGATATTTTTAATCTTAATCCTTTGTATGAAATGTATATGTTGGTACTGGATTAAAGTCTTAGAAACTTATTTTACTGCAAACAGTGATAATGGTACTGGTAACATTAGCCATTTCCTTATAAGGAAACATTCAGTTTTCATTGACTAAACAACTAGCATTACTTTCACTTGAAATTTATAAAAAATTTTTTCCTTAAAACAGTTTTTCCAGAAATTAGATTTCTCAAGTCAACTGTTATAGCTCTTTCTAGTATTAATGGGAATTTCCATCCAAATCTTTTGCCTAAGTTCATATGGAAAGTCAACATATTGATTACTGTATATACTTGTGTATAAGCCAACTTCAGGTATAGAATGACCCTTGAATTATGTTTGCATGAATTTTAACCCCTCTTGGAATAATTTGCCTGCATATAGTGCAACCAGTTACTGAACCAAATATGCATGATTTTTTTTTTTTTTACCTATTCTAAAAATGAAAATCACCTGTATATAGTGCACCCCACCTGTTTTTCGTATAAAAACGTCCTGATCATAAGACCTCGCATCACACTCGAATATATACAGTATTTCATTATTTTCTCTTCTAGTTATAAGCACTATTTTCTTTTTGTTGCTGTTGAAAGTGTTATGGAGGGATTTCCCAGTGGAGGCTTGTATTTGTACTAAGTCAGTCCTAAAATAGGTTCGACATACAAAACATTAGGAACTTCATATAATAGGTATGACGCAGAGTAATCTAGTTGTGGTTGCTGATACTTTAGTTTTCGACTAACGGTCATCCGACATCGACTGACTGACCGACTCACTTGTTACTCTTACTACTCCTACTTATTATAGGTGGGAGAGTCTATTAACTATAGAATAGGTGTGTTCCACTATAACAGAAAGTGATTATGTCATTTTGTTACTTACATTAATTACATTATTTGAACCGTTATCCTTATCTTCATTGCCATATTCAAAACGTTTCAGTCATTGTACGCTCTGGCCTTCTTCAGGTGAATGGAATTTCAAACTGAACTCTTTATTTCATCCATCAAAAGAAGGCCAGAGCATACAACAGTCAAAACATTGTGAATATGGCAATGAAGATGAGGATACCAGTCCAAATAATGCAAATAATGTAAGTAATCATCATACCTCATCTCAGAGATATAGAGGCTGAAACATTGTCAATATGGCAATGAAGATGGAGTAACAGTGCAAATAATGTAAGTAATCATAATACCTCATCTTAGCGATATAGAGGCTGAAACGTTGTCAATATGGCAATGAAGATGAGGATAACAGTCTAAATAATGTAAGTAATCATAATACATCATCTCAGCGATATAGACAGCCATTTTGTTATTTGGAAAACTGTCAGATCTGATGAAGGACTGTTTTCTCTAATTGTGTTAATAAAATAAAATTTGTAAATGATGAGCATGTAAACGATTTTATCACATACAATATCAGTTGCACTTTCCAGCTCACTACAAACTATAAAAGAGTGAGACATTTGATAAAAGGAAGAATGAAAAAAAAAAAGAAAGAAAATCACTCACCTCCATAAAGGACCATAAAGAGGACATCAGAGCGATTATTTGAGCTGATGTTAAGTGACGAATATGCAGCTGCATCAACGGACTTTGCAGTATATTTCTCAAGTTTACGTTCAAATGACGTTCCTGCAAGAGAGAGATGAAAAAAAAAAAAAAGAAATATACAAAAATTGTCTGATTTACCCAGCATAGAAGAAATGAGAAGCAAGTATAAAATAAAATAAAAAATACCTTTTTGTTTGAAATTCCATAATGGCTGATCCAGTTTCATAAATATTTTGAAATTAAAATCAAAAATGAATGACACAACTTTTACTGTGGCCAGAGTTTTTTGTGATTTTTTTTTCTAGGAGAAAGAAGTTTTCTATTAACCTAGTGGAACATGGTCCTGGGTATAATGATAAACTACATCCAGCAACAAGGCCTCTGATCAGAAGATTGGAGGTCTTGATGAGTGTGGAACCACCTCTTAATTACTCTTAATTACTCTTATTTCCAAGTCCACCCTGACTCAGGGTGGTAACACCTGTTAGGGTTCAAGCTATGGGAAAATAGTGAAACCCCAAACAAAAAAACACTATGGAAGTATAAAATTACACTTTTATAGTAAAGATACCAGCAAGGCATTTTTATTGTTTTTTAAATTACTGACAACACCTATTGATAGTAAAATAACCAACAATACATTTTATCTGTAGTTGAAGGCGAATAAATTTGTTCAAAATATTTAGATTTCAGCATTAAATGACCCATAGAGGTTGATATGCCAATAAACAAAATCAACCAATCAAAACCAATCAAAAAATGTAGATTTTGGCATTAAATAAACCCATAGAGGTTGATATGGCACTAAACAAAATCAACCAAAACACATCTGATGAACGCTGAAGAATACATCAGCCAATGCAGTTTAGCAACAGCAAATGATACAAAGAGAAAAAAATCGCTAATTACTCACTCTCCATAAGAGAGAGGGTTGATTAAATCGTCTTAGACCAGTCCATCTTGTGGTGGTGTTCAGCTACTCCACAACATAAAGTTCACCAAATACAAAGCTTGAGAATCACTTAAGGTAAAGTTTCTGCTAAAATGGCGATGATAAATCAGGTGTGATATGAATGAAAGCGGTGATGGTAAGTTGTTTTTAACTCTCCTATAAGTCCAATGAGATGTTTGAATACCACACAAAATTTCCTCAATATTAAGCAAGCGGCAAGTCCTATTTTCACGTTTAGTCAAGTAGCATTTTTTTTTTTCATTTTTATTTGTCCTAATAACCAGAAAGGACACTCAAGAAAATATATACTAAAATATATAACAAGAAAATTATTATTAATTAATTGATTTAAAATATGGTTTCTTCACTACACAGGAATTACATTTCAAAAGCCGAAGCTAAAAACTTCAAATTTCATTATATAATTAAATTAAAAGCATTACTTCTGTTTCATCATCAAGCAAATTTTGCAATAACTCATTTTTAAATTTACTGAGATTTAAATAATACATACAATTCATAATTTTTTGTTTCCAAGGAAAAAAACTATTGAACCCTGGCATGGTTTTTAGGCACTTTCCAAAAGGTGCCACATGCTAGGATCGACCCTTCCAGTCTAATAACATCAGGAACTCTCCTTCCTGACAAATCGACCATGGTGAGATTCAAACTCAAGTCTCATGGTCAGAAGGCAAACATTCTAATGACTTGGCCACATGCCCATATATATATATATATATATTGTAGGCATTCCGAAAGCAAAGGAAATATTTGTCGCAGATTACTTCCACAATGCAGAGGACAAATCACTGTAAGTTCAGACTCAAATATCACGGACAGAAAGAAATGCCGCAAACTCGATTCACAGATAATATCTCATAAATCCCAATGCACGTAACTAGTCAGAAAAATAGCTCAGTCTCTGATGAACGCAGTTGTCAAAATAAACCTATTTTCCGTCCCCAACACCAAATGCTTTTATTGGCCGAGCATTTTTTCCATTCGTTGATAACTGGGACTTTTACAGCGACTCCTGCGACAGACTTGTTTTTAATTTACATATTCAATCTTCAGCATGTCATGCGGAATACGTGCCCATTTTTTTGGTAAGTAATTTTCTTTTTCGCCATATTTTCTGTCATAGGATACACGCAATGCAGTGTCACTTGGTTTCATGAGGTAAATAAGTCGCTTTTTTTATATATATATATATATATATATATATACACACACACACATATATATATATATATATATATATATATATATATATATATATATATATATATATATATATATACACACACACATATATATATATATATATATATATACACACACACACACATATATATATATATATATATACACACACACACACACACACACACACACACACAGTGGGGGGACAAATATTTTATACAAATTTTTAATTTATCGTATTTCCAACTAATGAATAAATATACTTTTCACATCATTAACTCTACACAGATACATAATAACTAAATATGCACAGAAAACAGAAAATTTGGATTTAATAGAAATAAATCCCATTTATCCATTTTAAATGGGTGAAAAAAGTTTTGCAAGAAATAATACATAATCTTCATTTAATGCTTTGTAGAAAAGCCATTATTTACTTCTACAGCATCCAAACACTTCTTGTAGATCACAATTAATGATTTGCAAATTTTAGTTGGTATTTTGTTCCATTCTTCTTTGCATATGATCTTCAGATCTGGGATGTTTGTTGGTGCTCTCGATTGGATTTGAATTTTCAAATAATGCCACAGATTCTCAATTGGGTTTAAATCTGGGGACTGACTTGGCCATTTCAGGATATTTACATTATTTTTAGCAAGCCATTTCTTCATAGATTTTGCAGTGTGTTTAGGATCAATATCTTGTTGAAAGACCCAATCAAGAGGAAGTCCAAGATTTTCAACCAAAATCATTAAATTTGCTTCCATAATATTTTGATATGCTGCAGTATTCATTCTACCATCTATTATGATATGTTGCCAGTAACTTTTGCAGAAAAAACATCCCCAAACCATGATGCTGCCACCACCAAATTTTAATGATGGAACTGTGTTCTTTTGTTTGAAGGCATCACCATCTTTCCTCTATAAATGATTTCTAGAATTACGTCCAAAAAAAAAAAAAAAAAAAAAAACCTCAATTTTGGTTTAGTCTGTCCATAATACTCTTTCCATTATGATTTTTCCATTTCCTTATGTTCACAAATGAATTTCAACCTGGCATCTCTGTCTCTTTTCAATAGCAGTGGAGTTTTCGAAGGGGAGCGTGATTTTAGATTGTTCCTATGAATTTCATTGCTCATTGTCCATTTAGAGATACAGATTCCTGATGAAAGCAAATCATCCTGCAAATCTTGACAAGTAACCAGCAGATTTTGTTTAATTTGATGCATTAATTTCCTCAAAGACCTTGAAGAAATCTTACATGGAGCACCTTTTCTTTGGTTTTCAACAGTTTTGAGGTTTTTATACTTTGCAATGGATGAACAGTAGTAAATGGAATATTTAAGTTGTCTGAGATTTTCCTCTAACATTTACCTTCTTTCCAGAGCTTAACAATCAGTTCTTTTTGCAAATTTGTCAATTCTTTATATCTTGCCATGATAACTTTCTTGCATGAATATCAACTACAAAATGTTTTGTTTGTAATTTTTAGGCTAAAAATAATTACTAGTAGCATAATTGAAACATTCTAGAATATTCCACTTGAATAATCTAGAGTATTAAAGCAATTTAAATGTTTTAAAATCTGAAATTTGTATTGTACAAATACTTTTTTCACACATTAAAATGGATAAATGGGATTTCTATTGATTCAATTTTTCTTTCTATTTTCTATGCATAAATTATTATGAATCTATGTACAGTTAATTATATGAAAAGTATGTTTATTCATTAATTGGAAATACAATAAATTAAAAATGTGTAAGTGTACAAATATTTGTTTCCCCCCACTATATGTGTGTGTGTGTGTATATATATATATATATATATATATATATATATACACAATTTCGGAAAATCCTCATTGAAAACACAACTATACTTAAACATGAAAACAAAAACTAAAATTTCTTGAAGCTATATATATATAAAACAGTTGAAACCTAACCTGAACAAAATAAACTATGAAATCTTCACAAATATTCTTAAGTGCCTATAATTGATAAAAGAAGCCATTGGTTTATACCAACGGCTTCCCATACTTAATACTTCTCATTTTCACTCTCGCGTGGTTATGTATGACGTCACAAGCTGCAATCCGCATCTCGTATACACGAGTTTGTTGTTGCTTTGAAATTTTTCATGCAACAAAAACAGACTATCATTATTGTTTTGTCTGTGAATTGTTTGATATATTGAAATGTAATTGTCATCTTTGATAATGGTTTATGTAAGCCGAAAGCTTAGACTGGATTTAAACATGTATCAATATGGTGTTTTCCTTTCGTCTTTCAACGATAATGTGAAATTTAAATGTTTTAAAATTTGTATTGTACAAATACTTTTTCACACATTAAAATGGATAAATGGGATTTCTATTAATCGGCTTATAAGACAATATCAAAGGAACTTACTTAAAATAAATAGACAAAACTTGTCTATATTATTTAATGAAACATGCATTAATGAAAAATTGCTGACTAAATATACACTATATATATATATATATATATATATATATATATTCATGAGTGTGTTTTACTTTCATTAAGATTTGAATCTGAATATCTAGCTAACTACCTAACAAAGGGGAAATGTGTTGTGAATAAAAAAGTTTCCCACTTAGTTTGATTTTTACTTATATATATATATGTGTGTGTGTGTGTGTGTATATATATGTGTATGTATGTATATATAAATGTAAAATTGGACAGTGAGGTCAAAGCCAAGCAGGCTACAGTCTGTTCCATGCTTGAACGCAATCTTCAGATGGCCTGAAGGTTATTTTGAAGATTGGCCTGAACACTGCATTCAAGCATGAAACAGAATCTCGCCACTTGTGTTGCCCTCTGTGTCCAATTTTAGATTTACATACATTCTGTCCCTGATATTGAGCACTTTTACACATAAATATAGCAAAAGTA